AACTGACCCTCGACCCCTAAACAAACGATGTCACATATAAACACAAACCTTGAGAGATGAGTGGAGAGGGAAGCATACCAGGTCGACTATGGATCACGGTGTTTGTTAGCATTGCAATGCTATTGGCAATGAATGGTTGAATCATAGTATTTATTGGGTGGCGAGATAACGGTGGCTGCTTCGTTTAGGTTATTATTGGTGGCGCCAACAGCGACTATAAAAGATGGAAAATAAGAGAGAAATTGGGAGAGGAAAGGGAAACTGCATTTACGCTGGAAAAAAGGGAGATTGGGATAAAAGAGATATTAGGAGATAGAAACACTAAGAAAAGAGCTAAGAGAGATAACAAACGTATGAGGGATAAAAAGAGTGCAGACCGTAGAGTCTTGTGATGAGAAACAAGATTTAAATTGTTAAATATGGGTTGAGGAGAGAGAATATGTATGAGATAGATAGAGACGTATGAGAGATAAGAGTGTAAAATCTTACGATGAAAGGCTTCGTCATGAGCGGGAAAAAAAATTCAGGACTAATTTTGAAACGATCTGATAATTAGAAAAGAAAATATTGTTAGGTGGGAAAATAAAATTTAGCACTCATTGTAGACCGTTATATCAAATTTTTTGAGATAATTTGAACCGTCTTTTATATTTGGATTACGTTATCCGTTGAATGTGTTTATATTTTGTCTCAAAATGATCTGGACCGCTCTTTATCTCTAAAATTCAAACTCAACTATACTTTATTTATATATATAACATTAAAAAATAGTAAAATTTAAATACAAAAAAATAATAATATTCAAAAATAAAAAAATAATAACATTAAATATTAATATTTGAAAAAATAACAGTACTAACATGTTTAACAAAAACAATAACATACTCACAAAAACAGTAATATGGTAAAAAAATTTACACATATATATATATAGATAGATAGAGTATCAGTTATTCTTTGAATATGAATTTCAAATTTATGTAAAAAAATTTATTGGCATATGTTCATTGATAGTGAATTAAGAGATAATAATTTTCAAGTTAGGAAATTAATTTAAAGTTGCTTTCACTGAAAGGGTATTTTGAATCTTTAAAAAAATATTGGGCTTACTACTTATTAATAAAATTAAAAATAACGGAAATTTGGAGGCCGGTCCCCCTATATAGACTTGTTTGGACTTAAGTCTGTCAACAAAACTTATTTGTTATAAAGTCTGTTTTTTGTCAATTTTACCATACTATCTCTTACCTTTAGAAGTGAAATAAAACTAAAAATTAAAAACTCTTAAATCTTAAGAGTTTGACTAACATTAAAATCTTTTCTCTCTAATATCTATCTATATCCATATATAGTCTGAGAGTTTGATTAATATTAAAAAAAAAAATTCTCTCTCTCTTATCTATCTATATTCATATATAATTTAGGTATATATATATATTAAAAATAAAAAAAAATAATATTTAAATACAAAAAAAATTATCATTTCGACACAAAAAATAGTAACATTTAAACATAAAAAAAATTGAAACATTCAATATTAATACTTTTAAAAAAAAACAACAATATCATGTTCAACAAAAATATTAACATGTTAAAAAAAGGTAGTAACATACTTAACAAAAACTGCAATATACTTAACAATATTTATTTCTTTCAAATTCAAATGCAAAGAATAGTATCATTCAAATACAAAAAATAGTAATATTAAAAAAAATAGTAATATTGAATATTAATATTTAGAAAAATAATAGTAGTAACATACTTAACAAAAAACAGTAATATGCTCAAAATGATAGTAATATGAACAGTAACATACTCAACAAAAGCAGTAACATGAATAGTAACATAGTAAAAAAAATAGTAACATGAATTTGAATTTTACTATTCAAATTTATAGTAATTTTTTTTTTGTATTTGAATGTTGCTATTTTTTATTTTTAATGTTACTATATATATATACACCTAACCTATATATAGATATAGATAGATAAGCGAGAGGAAAAAATTTTATGTTAATCAAACTCTTACTCTATATATAGATATAGATAGATATGAGAGAAAAAAGATTAACTTCCTTTCAAATAAAGGTATTTTTAAGATAAAAAAAAAGTTAATTTAAGTCATTATATATAATTTTAAACGTAGACTTAACCCCTTATAAGTTTCCTTGCGAGACTTATCTCCAAACAAGTACATTTAGGGGGGATTCACTTCCAATTTTCACTAAAAATAAACTTACCTCCAAATGAGTTTTCTTGATGGAATAAATTCATTATAAGTCCCTTATGGAGAATTCAGTTCTAATTTTTACAATTTTATTTTTTTAACTTATATTATATTAATAATTTTTAAATTTAGGACCTTTTTCATATATGGGCCTAAAGCCTATATTTTTATTTTTATTTGAGAAAATTAGAAAGAGGTACACCCAATTAGATTTAATTGTAAAAAAGTACATAAAAAAATGTTGAGTAATTAATTCTTTAATTTTGATACTTATTTGTATCTAAGTACATTATTTGAATTTTACTGATTTTTTTGACATTTTTACCCTTCATTAATCCATGTGTATTTAACGCACCACTTTTCAAAGAAAAATAGTGCATTAAACATCTCCTAGTTTTATTGGAGAACTTTATTGTTACATTATTATTGTAACATTATTACATTATTTGGATATTAAATTAATTTAAAAATAAAACTATTTTCCAAAAAAAAAAATATTTGAATCAAAGTACATTAAATATAATTTGAAAATAAAATTACTTTTCCACAAAAATAAGCATCAATCAATATGTATTAAAAATAATTCAAAATTTAGATAAGAGATTTAACAGTAAACATATATATATATATATACACACGAATATATATATATATATATATATATATATATATATATATATATATATATATATACACGAATATATACATATTTACATGTATTAACAAAATACACATAAATTAAGATGCATTAAATACATATTTATATGTATTAACAAACACACATAAATCAAGATGCATTAAATATAAGAGATGTTGAATTAAATGACCCTAAAATGAGCATTTATGACTTTGTAACTTATTCGTGTATTTTTTTTAAAAATATTTTATTTTATGTATTTTTTATCAAATAAATTTAATTAAGTGTATTGACTTCCAAAAAATCCTTTTTATTTAATTTATAGGATTGGACAGGATGGATGTGATTATGAATAGTTTTTAAGTCCAACTTTTCCACGTCATCTGAACCAATATATTGTAAAATTAAAATCTCAAGCCTTCTTCTGTTAATCTGTATCTGACGGCCAACATGTCTAAAGTTTTCAAAATTCCATTAACTGAACAATGTTTTTTGACATGCTCTTCGATTTTGGAGAACTTAGAAAACACGGGGATGTAAACACTGTATACTTACTGGACCCATATAAAAACGCCAGTCTTTTTTTTTCCTCTCTCTCACGGACAGTCTTTCTGGACTCCCTCACTCCCTCCGCTGCCTCCGATCCTCTGGTGCCCTTCAAAGGGAACGACTGCGAGTGAGAGCTCCCTTGATCGAGAGCAATCAATCTCCAGCAACTCATAGGAGTTATCAGATGTCCCCTCTTACGGTAAGAAGGTAAACCATAGATCTGCTAGATCTGGGTCTTGTTTTTTGGTTTCTTATTGCCTTGATTTTATTGTGGGTTTGCTTTTCTTCATATCTGGCTTATAATAGCTTAACGAAAGCTTCGGGAAAGGAAACGTCGGTCGTTCAACAAGAAGCTGTAGAAACTTCGGCCATTTCGTTATTCCTTTTTTTTTCCCTTTGCCCCAGATATGATGTTTGGGACCTTCGAATCTATAACAAATATTCATAAATAAGAATTTTGTTGATTTCTTCCTCTTTTGTCACCTTTCATGCCAGACCCATTTCGCACGGCGACTCGATCCTCTATTTGTTGCTCTAGGATTTATGTCGGATCCATTGGGTTTAGTCCACCTCTATTTTCTTTGTTAATCGATGTTTAGTTTAGCTCCTAAACATTGGGTTTGGCTAGTTAGAGCAACTCCAACCCAACTCTCAATTTTAATTACTCAAAATATATTTAAATATTAAGTTTTCTGATGATCACTTTTACAAGTTCAATCCGCTCTCTATTTTAACTAAGTACTTAACTTCAACTAACTTTCAATAATTTGAAGGGGATTGCAACATATAGATAGAGAGAGATATAGAGAGAGAATTTGGAGAATTATTTGGGTGAAATGGAAAATAGAATCCTCCCTTCTTCCTGGATCAAGATTCCGTAAAAGTGCTTGAAATTTGAAAAATTTTAAACTGTGTTTTGTAAAAATGCTTCAGTTGAATATATTGAAATTTTTTTATATGAAATAATCAATTCAATCAGCATCTCTGTTTTTATTATTTTTTTTGGGTTACTTTCCAAATAAGTTTTACTGTTTTCTGTTCTATAGAATTGTTTTTAGAATCGTACAACCAAACAAATTTTGCAATATGAAAACACCAAAACACCACTTTTTAAAACTCTTCTAAAAAATTATTCTCGAATATTATTTTTGAGGTACAATCCAAAAACATTTCCAACTAGTCTTAGATCAAAGTTCAAAATTTTCCCAGAACCTCACAACTGTCACCACAGTTGTACTTCATTTTTTCTATATATTGAAATGCCCTAGATCTATTTGACAAAATTCCCTAAAGCTCCTGCCTCAATCTCCATCCAGGTAAGCCAGCCACATTATGAACCTTCTTTTTTATATTGCTTAAATTTCTCCCTCATAGAAAATTCCTGATTGTTATTTGAATTTCATTGCATTTACAGGAGGGCGTAAGTGTTTAATGTGACCTGTAAATTTATCGATCTTGAAGTTGAAGCGGAATGCCGATTCAAAAATTGAGCTGAAAATCAAAATTTTGTGTGCATCTATTAGGTTTTGTTGTAGAAGTTTATAAGTTAATAATGGTGTTTTGGGAAGGGTATGTTAGCGACGAAGCAATGGGGACATTTGCCCCAATTGTGGTGTACTGGTTATATGGTGGGTTTTATCAGATGTTGCCACCTCTAGATAATTATCGCCTGCACACCAAAAAGGAAGAAAATGAGAAAAACCCGGTGCCATTGTCATCCGTCATCAAAGGTGTGTTGCTTCAACAGCTCGTTCAGGCCACCGTTGCGCAATTGCTTTTCATGGTACATACTTACTTTTGTACATTTTCTTCAGTTTTTGGTACTCCACTCTAATTTTTATGCTACTTCGTGTTGAAATATTGACATGATAATATGATTTTGGCGGCAAATGATAGTCACTGGAGGCTTGGTTTTGTTGAATTTATGTTAATATATGCAAAGAGTGTGGGTGCGAGCATGTGGTGAAATGACTTGCAAAAGGATAAGTTAGCGATGAATAGTAGTGACAGGTGGTTTGATATGTCGAATTTACATAAATATATGCTAGACCTCAACTTGGATTGTGGCCAATTTTCAGTATGTGTTCAAGTTTTATAGTTTTCTAGATCATGAACAAATGGGTGGGGTAAAGTATGCTGCAATGTGTGTGATGGCTCAGTAATTGGGGACATTAGAGTTTTAATTTTTTTAGCATAATGTTGATTTATGCATGACCTAAATTTGGGTTGGTCGCTGGTGTGACTTGAAGATATGAACATGGCAGTGGATAATCCTAATCATGATGGAATTTCATCTGTTATTTTCTATCATCTATGGAACTCAAAATGTTATATATACACATGACAGCTGCCTCTTGTCAGTCTGTTTGATGGGACTCAAAAATAAAAAGACATAGTAGCAGCAGAGAAAAAATGATTGACTCCAAAACACAAAGGCACAGACTATGATGGACTTAAAAAGCACAAACAATGGCGATGATGACTCACAAACACAAAGATACATGGGTGTGCAAAAGATAGCTGTCTCTTTTTCATCTCATCTTCTTTCCTAATCTGTGCTTTTCTCGACCCTTGGCACCCTTTAAAGTGCAAATGTGATGCTTCTTGTGTGCACTTAATCTTGCCTTTTGGCTCACCCAAAAAAAAAATTCCTAGCTTGACCTTTTTTCTATTTTGAATATTCCCAGTATTATTGGAGATGGGGATGTCAGGGAGCAGTTCAAACGAGCAAAGTGCATTGAAACTAAGTCCATTTACAGAGAGCTTTCAAAAGATTTAGTTTTTCTGTTTTGGACATAAAGTGGATGCTCGTTGTATAACATTTTTGCTATTCTTGAGAATTCATGGCAGCCCATATGGAAATTAAGAGCTTTTAGATGTGACAGTACAAATCAACAAATTTTGCTTCATTCCTACTTCTATTTGGCTTATTTTCAGTTCTTCCTTGATTAAGGTGATGATTCCATCTGTTCATCACTCATTGTCATCTATGCTAGACGTTTTAGGCCACCTTTTAAGTGTAATGTATTTTTTTGGTTTGTTGTTCATGGACTCTGCTATTGGAGTTGATATAGAAAGTGGGTTGGACAAGTACTTTAACTATTTTTGGAAGGTGGTTCCATCTAAAGTATTGTGACATGGGTAGGGACTTAGGGTAAGGCATCATATCTGAGATTTTTTTAGGTTCATCTAGTAATCTTCGTTCAGTCATAGGAATGAGGACGATACATCCTATCTTATTGTTACTATGGAGCAAACTAATAGTTTCACACTCATAGGCTAGAAATTTTGTGTGGCACGTGTAAAACTAATCGGAAAAACTAAAAAAGAAAATAGGGAGATTAGAAACACAATGAAGAATCCAACTATTACTTTCATGAGAATCTCAAGATACGACCAATCTAGGTATGCATGAACTTATGCACCATTTTCACCTGCTTGCATATCAAAGATTTCGAGTAGCACCTTGAAGTTACTTTTAAGCACAAATTGCAGCAAACATGCATCATACCTGGCATGGCATGGCTCAGCCAGCAGGAGTAACTATACTGAATCGTTTAGCACCTATCAGTGAAAAGTCCAAGCTTTCAGTGGCCTTGTTTTTTGAGGAATAGTCTGCCGTGGGAAGAGTAGCTTAGAATAAAAATAAATTTTGTGACTTTACAACGAGTCTTAGTGCAGTTGTTGAAATTCCCTTTTTGTGTACAATACCCTTTCTCCTTCCCCAACATGTGCATTTTGTAAGCTCCGAAGCTTCGACTCTTCCCAATTTTCACTTTGCATTCTCCCCTTTTCCATCATGGAACTGCTAAAATGATGTTGCTGATTTTCTGTGAATGACAGTTGCATGCGAAAGGAAATTCCTGCATGTAATTAATGTCAACTAATTGGCTTAAATTTTAAATGACAACTAATTGGCTTAAATTTTAAATGAGAATCTGATGTAGGACAACTTTGTAAAATAAAAAATAGGGAATGTTTAGCGCCTGTTCAGGGACTGTGAACAGTATTCATGAACAGTAATGGACTGTTAACAGTAGTGTGAACAGTAATTTTGGTTAGGAATCACTCCTAGGGTTCCGTAGGCATCACACCCTGGATTAGAATTGCATCACACAACTTAAGAAACATGTAATTGCTCAAAATTCTGAATATCTCTCTCCATCTATTATTAAAAGTAACACTAACTATATATAGAGTTATAAGTAATCCTAATCCCAAAAGATTAGGATTCCAAAGTCTCTAGAACTTCAGAGACATTAGGTCCCTACAAATTATAAAACTAAAATTAACTAGAACTAGAACTTGAAATTCTAGAATATTCAATACTAGAATTTGACCCAAAAATATGACCTATTCCAGAAATTCTAGAAACTACAAAAAATACCCCTGGGACTAAAATATTAATACTAGCAAATTGACTTAAAATAAGAATGCAAGATTCCATATGGATCTTTGTCTTGATAGAAAGTCAATTTCATTATCTTTCACATCTTCGAATTTGTGTTTCCTTGAACATCTTATGGATTGCATCAGAATCACTCTCATATTATCACGTTTTCTTGATTCATTATATTGTTATTGTAGCTGTGGACAGTGGCCATCTAGCCTAATACTTGAGATTTTATGACATGTACGTGAGTTTAGATAAGTTGCATCTCTTTCACTATATCATGCTTACAGTTTTTTCATAAAAAATATGAGTTTACCAGGTTGAACTACTTAATCACTCTGTAGCCTGAAGCTTGCTTGATGATTTTAGTTCCTGCTTCTGTAAGATGTTGGATGATTGTTAAATGGGTTTGCCAGCTTTTATCACCTTGGTGACATGTTGGATTGGGTGAATGATTGGTAATATTACACTGCAGGCTATGAGGGCATCAATTTATTTCACATAATTCTCCAGCTTATACAAGGATTTTGAAACCTATTTGGTCTTGTCTCTGTAGCCTTAATATTGCTTGATGATTTTTGTTTCTGTTTCAAAGAACTGTCCATTCTATGAGGACATTAATATATTACTATTATATGGCTTACACCAAGATTTTGAAACCTCATGGTCTTGTCTGCTGGCAAATGTTATCTATATGCTGATTCTTTCCACACTTTTGGCTGCAGTTCACTTCCCAAGCAAATTTATCTGGAGTCACAGGTCAGCCCTCCATTCCTATCCAAATTGTGCAAATTGCTGTAGCAATGCTGGTCATGGATACATGGCAGTACTTTGTGCACCGCTACATGCACCAGAACAAATTTTTGTATCGCCACATCCACTCCAAACATCATAGGTTGGTTGTCCCTTATGCCATTGGGGCCCTTTACAATCACCCATTAGAGGGTCTGCTGCTAGACACACTGGGTGGTGCCATTTCTTTCCTTGTCTCAGGAATGACAGCAAGGACTGCTGTGGTTTTCTTCTGCTTTGCAGTGGTCAAGACCGTTGATGATCACTGTGGACTCTGGCTGCCCGGTAATATTTTCCATCTATTTTTCCAAAATAACAGTGCTTATCATGACATTCACCATCAACTCCAAGGCACAAAGTACAACTATTCTCAGCCATTCTTTCCTATATGGGACAAACTTCTTGGTACCTACGTACCATACAGTCTTGTAAAGCGACCTGAAGGAGGTTTTGAGGCGAGGCTAATTAAAGACTAATTGTATTGTGTCCATGAGTCTCTGTACCATTAATTGTCATTGTAGGAATATCTTCGAGATTATGCCACTCATAGAGAAACTGCACTTGCACTTGTTTCCCTCGGAGGCTCTATATTCTAGCAGGAGTTGAATTTGCCGCTGATATTCATTTGTTCTTTTCTTTGCCTGTTGCTTGACCAGTATTTCTTGTGTGTTATATTTGCTGATTTCGTTGACCTACCAATGAATTGTAACTTTGTTTTCTTTGAGTTATGTGTGGAGTATATCTGTAATGAATGATTATGCAACTTGCTCGTGTTCTGGCCGGTTATCAGTGCTGTATTGAAATTTGAATTTTTCATTCTCAATGAAAATGTTAGATTTTGTAACCTGTGTTTGATTTGCTATGCTGAGTGTCTATTGCTTTAACATGTGCTGGAAACTAGTTCATTTTCATTTTCATCTTCATCTGTTCCATTCCACAGCCTTTCCTTCTTTGTTAAGAATATCAATGTGCAAAAAGGTTTCCATTTGTTTTCCTTGGATCGCGAAATGCCGAAACCCACACTTATCCCTCTGAACAGACTCATTACTTAAAATTCGAGCCCCAGTAAATTAGTAACTTTAGTTCTCTTCCTGCAAATAATTGAAGAAACCTAGTTGCTTCCTTTCTGTACACTCCAACAGTTTTTTTGCCCGGCAGATTGAATCTATGGCTGGAGGGTGCCTCCTTTCCTGTAGTCCATTCGTGTCTTACCGATCAAAAGAAACTGTTTGCGAAACAGAGAAACCTCTATATCAAGTTAGACCAGTTTACCACACCCCGTTCACTTGAGCATGGTAAAACAATCACGAAAGGCATAGTAGTAAGCATGAGAAAGTTTCATAATTCACTACAATCGTGAATGTGGTCGTTTCATAAGATCAAATTTTCTCAAAAAACTGCTTGTACATGATAATTCGAAAGTTGCATTTCCTACATATGATACACTTAGTCGAACAATGAATTAAACTCACCAATAGTCCCTGCAAGAACAAGACCCCTCTTTGAACCTGTGAAACCGTGTTCGATCCCTCACAATAATTTCCCGCCCGTAAATCTTCGAAATAAGCTTGATCACCACATGACAATCTCCACAAATCCTAAGATTCTTATTCACATTTATTGTGCTCCCATCACTTGTACTAATCAAACCAAATGCCACAGCCAACTTCTCACTATGATAACACAATGCATTCTCCTTCTCCTCCTGCCCTATATCATGCAACACATAATTAGTCTCCGCCACATATCCGAACTCTTTAATCCTAAACCTAATCTCATCAAGCTTCATATAAATCTCCCTCCATTTCGGATGATTCTGATCACCATTAACAAACTTGTATATCACATTATCTACTTCGATATAGCTAAACCCCGGAACCTTCTTTACGTCCCTATTCTTCATTGCCTCCCTGACCCTTCCCACGTCTTCCCACCTCTCATGCCCAGCATAAACATTCGACAACAACACAAAATCCCCACAGCTATTAGACCCCATCTCCACGAGCTTCCTCGACGCCTTCTCTGCCATGTCCACATTCCCATAAGTCTTGCAAGCACCTAACAAGGTTTGCCAAAGCACCACATCTGGAACCATAGGCATTGAATTTATAATCTTGTATGCTTCCTCTAACCGCCCAGCTCTTCCCAACAAATCAACCACACTACCATAATGCTTGACATTACGACTCACCCCACACACTGCCATTGATTCAAACAACCGCACCCCTTCGTCCACCATACCTGCATGGTTACATGCACACAGTGCAGCTAAATAACTGACACTATCCGGAACCGCCCCCGCTTGAACCATTTGCTTGAAAAGCTCAAGTGCTTTAACTCCATCCCCATACATTGCAAATGCCATGATCATTGTGTTCCACGTAACAAGGCTCTTCCTACAACTCATATTATCAAAAACCCAATAAGCTTTTTCCACAATCCCACATTTTGCATACATATCAATAACTGCATTACACACAATCACATTATCATCTAATCTCTCATCTCTAATGTAATTATACACACTCTCACCTTCCTTTATAGCACCCAATTGTGAACATGCGGAAAGCGCACCAAGCACTGTAACATCATTCGCCTTAAGACCCTCTACTTTCATTTTCTTAAACAGCTCCAAGGCGTCACTTGGTCGACTTCCCTGAGCCAACCCAGCTATCAAAGCATTCCAACTCGCAATATCTCTCATACCCATTTCATCAAACACGTAACAAGCATTATTTAAATCACCCGTTTTCGCAAATACATCCAATAATGTAGTTTGTAGCAACACGTCCGCTTTGAAACCCAAGCGTATCACTTGAGAGAATACCTGCAAGGCCTCAGAGCGAGCTAAAGCACGCGCGCATGCTTTCAGGGCAAAAGAGCAAGTAAGGGCGTCAGGTTTACACGGGGCACGTGACATGGAGATGTAGCATGTGATGGCATTGGTGGGTTGGTGGCTCTGAGCGAGGCCGCGGATGATGGCGTTCCAGTCGTTGGTGGCGGGGAAGGGGATGTGGTGGAAAATATGGGTGGCGTAGGGGAGGCTGCCAGCGGAGGAGGTGGCGCAGAAGTCGAGGAGTTTGGAGCGGGAAGGGTAGAATTGGAAAAGGCCGGTGGTTAGGAGGTGGGCTTGGAGTTGTTTGATGTGTGTGAGAGCAGTGCATTTCTGTAATAACGATTCGATAGAGGCCATGCCATGAGGACTCCACCCGGTGGCTGCCCCCTTCAACTTAAATTCTCCTCTTTCTATTTTTTCTTGAGTAATGTTCTGGAGAGATATGATTTAATAATTGTGATTATTAAATTATGGGTAAGTCGCAGTATTAAATATAATTCAATGATTACAATACATTAAATATCTAAATTATGTCATAATAACATTAGTAAATTTTTTATGACAAAATTATCTCTCATATTCTTCTCAAACATTGATTGCATCCCAGTTATGTTGAGTTTATGTGATGTTTAAATTGTACTAATCTATATCCGTATATTTTTAGTGTAGTGTGAATAAGTTGTGTCACTCATATTTGTATCAATCCATTGATTAAAGTGTTATCCCTAAGTCTATTTGGTGACTTATTTTATCAATTAGACCAAGTATAGATTTTTTTAAAACTGAGATAAAAAATTTTAAGTAATTATCTAAATTCAATATATTTGTTAAGCGATGATTTTATGGATATTTCGTCTTAAAAGGATTCAGGTTTGGACCTAAAGTTCAAAAAAAAAAATTAATAATGAGGGATGGACAAGGTAATTTATCTGTTTGATTTACGTCTTAAAAATAGAAAGAGGTATTTCCTGTGTTTTTTATTTGCTTGAAAATTGAGAGAACATCATTTAGGTGTTCTCTGATTTTTCTTCTCGAAAAATTCTTCTCGAAAAATTATTTACCAAATAGTATCTTTTTAATTTTTATTGGTTTGACAATAAAAAACAATTTTTGGAACACAAATCAAATAGACCCAAACTTTAGAGGAAGTCAGTGTAATTTTCTCAAAAAATAATGAGTTACACATCATCCAGGCCACCAAGAGGCATCTACACATTTCCAGTAGCGCTCCTCTCTCTCTCCCCCTCACTGCATAAACAAAATATCTCACCATATTGCACCAACGCTAACGAAGAAGACCAACCGACCTACCGACAGAGACTGCGAAGAAACGAAATCGCTCTTCATATAGCTTAATAAGAAGAAGAAGAAGTAGAAGATGAGGTATTTCCTTCCTCCTCTTCCCTTTATTCACTCGCTCTGTATTCAATTTGTTTTTTTTTTTTCTCTCTGAATTATAGAGAAAAATTTTATTAGAATCTTTTTTTTTTCTGTAATGACTCAAGGGTTTTAGTTCTTTGGCCTCAATTTTTTTTTTGTATATGTGGTGTTTGTGTGTACGTGTAGATGTTTGTGAAGGGTTAGAAATACCGGGCTAAACCTTGAGGTCGTGGGTTCAAAGTTGCTTTGTACATCGAGCATCCAAAAAAATGATCATACTTATTATTTTTTTTAAATAAAAATTAATAAAATTTCCTCAAAATACAGTCTCAAAAAAATATATATATATAACCTAGGGCTAGCTCAAGTGCTAATCGGCCACTTGATAGATGTTTTAAGTTGGCATTGATCAAAATTTCGATCTTAAATGCTTCTTAGAGTCACCTCGTAGGCTCAGGTTAACGGCCACGTGTCCAAATGGGTTAGGTAGGTGAGGGTTCTTGGATTATCAATATATATATATATACACACACTATCATATATGAAATAAAAATTGTATTGAGTTATAAATTAATCAAAATTAAATAATTCAACTTGTAAAATGAATGATAAAATATGTGAAATGAGTGATAAAATATGTGTGGATAAAATTTTAATGTGAAATGAGTGATAGAAATGGGCGGAAAAAAATAGGTGGGATAAAATTTTAATGCCTAAACTCTTTTATTATATATTTTGTACCCAGTCCATCTTTCTTACAATTTTTTGATTTTTGTACATAAAAGTATGGATAGATATCCGGATGCATATATAGCACTGGCCATACTTGAGAGTGCTTTAATATAAGGGTTAGATCATTGGCTTAGTTTTACTTACCCAAATATGAAAAGTTAGTCTATTGGAATCTATTTGAACGCGAAGAATTGGAAAAAGAAATATCAAGTGTGTGATGTGTTTGTCACTTTAATTGGGGTTTTGGTACGGTTTGGAATGCGACTCTTTCTTGGTTGGGATTTTTGTATTGTGGCCCCAACTTTTGGTGCTCATCTGTTTCTGGTAATTTGGTCAAGTGGTGCAGTAACTAATCATTAACGGTGTGTGAATGACAAATAATAGATGGTCAATATTCAATATACTTTTGTGGAATAATTGAAGCATCACTATTCGTATGCGTGAATTTTTTTTTTTTTTTGGTATGCAATGAATTGGTCTTATGCATGAATTTCTGTTAGTTCAGGCAAGTAGTGCAGGTGCAGCTACTGAGAGTGCACTGGTATGAGTGATAATGTTGTCAAATAAGTCTCTGTACTATTTGAAATGCATAGAATTAGGCAGGTAGTTTTTAATGGATGATCTAAGAATTTACATCACTTGGTGGCGGCCACTCTAGCATATATTCCCAATGTCTCTTTGATCTTCCTTTTCTTTCTATCCTTTTGATGCTCATTCGGACTTGGAATGTTCCATTATGTGCCTTATTTAACTGCAGTTTGTTGTTGGCATTATTTGGTATATTTTTTTTTCCTTATGGTGGAATTTGATATAAGCCTCCTGTTTCCTGTTTAAAGATGCTAACACAACCTCCCACCTCCCCATTGAATTTTGAAAAAGCCGGATGGCTTTCAGCCTTCTGGTGCTTGGTAGGTAAGTGTCATTGTTCATAGGCCCCAAATGTGTACTGGCTATCTATGGCATACAGAATATAGGATTACATGGATATTATTTGTGAGAAATCAGTTAATGATTTTCGATTCAATTTGGTTGTTTGCATGACCCTCATTGTGTGTGCAGAGTAGTTTCTTGTCAATATCCAGACAGATTTGTTTTGGTGGGTGCAAGAAACATTGTTAACTAGGAAATACTAACTTAGGTCTTGGATGCGTTACTTTTTAATCAGTTTGTTTAATCTAACACCTTTTTTGCAAATTACATGTCCAGCCGACATCCTACTGTAAAGTGGGCCCAGAGGTCTGAGAAACTGTTTATCACCATTGATTTACCGGATGCAAAAGATGTGAAGCTTAAACTGGAGCCAGAGGGAAAGTTCTCCTTTTCTGCTACTGGTGGAGCAGATAACATACCTTATGAAATAGATATGGATCTGTACGACAAGGTTGCTGTAAATGTAAGTGAGGCATACATGATAGCCTCTCTTGAATAGTTTATTTATGCCTCAAATGATGAGTGCAATAAATGACACTCGCAGGAGAGCAAGGCTAATATTGGCTCAAGAAATATATGCTACCTCATAAAGAAGGCAGAAAATAAATGGTGGAGCAGACTGTTGAAGCAAGAGGGAAAACCACCAGTGTTTTTGAAAGTTGATTGGGACAAATGGGTTGATGAAGATGAGCAGGACAATAAACGTGAGTTTTGTCCCAATATGTCTTTTACTGTTGACTTCTGTTAGGATACTTGACTTGCTTACATACTTTTGGTTTTTCAGATGGAGCTGATATGGACTATGGCGATTTTGATTTCTCAGTGAGTAGTAGTTCTCTGATTAACTTATGACTTGTTTTTTTGTAAATGTTCATTAATTGTTACTTGATTTCATTGTTTTTTTTTTCTTTCAGAAACTTAACATGGGTGGGGATGGAGATTTTGACCTTGATGCTGATGGTGTTGACAAGGATGAAGGCAAGTCCCGTAATTACTTACATTGTCAGAATTATTCTGATTCTTGCCTGTTGCGTGTTGGAAGTTTGATGAGTTAAAACTATGTGCTGTGCATCTCGTATAAATCATTTGATTTGCCGTTGGGTACTTGCAGGAGATGACATTGACACTGAAGGGACTGAGGAAGCAGCCCCTTCTACTAGTGAAGTGCCTCCTAGTAGTAAACCTGAGGCAAAAGCTTGAGAGCTTTCGGGTATTTGTGCATTTTGTTTTGGACTTCTAATCCACCGTTATACTCGGTGTTATGTGAATGTTAGATAGAAAGAGAAAAACTGTCTCCAGCGTAGTTGTGCTTGGTTTTTGATCTGTCTAAAACTACATGCAATAGAGGTATTTATCACACTCCTACGTCTGTCAACGAAATCTGTTTTGCTTTATGTACCATGCATCTTAAAAGATCCTGAATCTACCTCGCATTTTGGTCGAGAAAAGAGAAAGTACACTTCCAGCCTACTTGGTAGTTAGACAGCTAAATGTGGTGTCTAATGATGTGGAAATGGTGTTCTGGGCTGTTGTATCTCATTTATGCTGTCACACTGTGTTGCACCTGTTTGTTCAAAACTTCGGTGGGAGGAGTTCAATTTATATGCCATGTGATTGAATGAGGACACTCAAGAAGGATGAAAAATTCTCTCCTCAATCGGGCAAGAGAGGGTATTCACGTCTCAATTCATATTTCATATTGTACATTCCTTACTTGGTCAGGCAAGGAGCTTATAAAACAGGGTTTATATATTACTTGAAGACCAGCCAAATCTTTTAACTCAGCTCAATGAAAATTGGCAGTGTATTCCCAAGGAAAGCCAAAAAGCCAAGGAATGTTGCTGCAGCAAATGCCACCTCACATTGGGAATTCAAAAACAAATTAGCAATTGCAAACCGAAGATGAAAGCATTTACTATCCCACCACAATCTCACAAGGTGTTGGTAAAGATGAAAAAAGAAAACCAGAGACAAAGTCATTGCAGAAGTTGAAGAAATCACACATTTCGGCTGTCGGGTAGCCTCATTTGAACCAATTCTGAGGGCGGACGCAACGTGCAAACCATCTCTTTTGTTTTCCCAAAATAAACCTGTCATGTTAACTTCCAAGTCATTTTCTGGATCACCTCAAATCCAAAATGGATTACTTCCAAACAAGAAAATAAGCAAGTACCTGCTCCAATGAGTTCCTCAGCTTGCCCTCCATTTCTTCGATCATCCTTCCCATGTTAGATAGATGACCATCTGCGACTGAGAGGTCCATATCCATCTATACCAAAAAGAAAGCAGGCAGGGGTAATGGAAACTTAATAGCTTTTCCCAAAAAATGTCCAATGTTCCTTTCACGAATAAATGCTGCCAAACTTGAGAACTCAACTGAAAACTGTCCACAGCTCTCCAACCTATATAGCGAAGTGATTATATTCAAACTAGAATGTGCTACAAAAACAAAAGGCAGGACACTACTAGACATCCGTTGGTATGGTGAAAAAGGACTTGAGATCAGGGGCATGGCCTACAGCTGGATGATGGAGAAAAAGAAAAGGAGATCTAGGTTTCCTTACATCGTGAATAGGTTAAGAGTTTCTCAAGCAAACCAATTTATATGGAAAACTAAACCTGCAAAAATAAAATCCCAAAGAAGGTCCACAACAACATAGTTGACTAGTTGTGAAGTGTAATAGGCCTATTACATGTTTCCAACCTTTCACAGCTCTATCAACAATTCAACTATAACAATTAATTTTTTATTTCAATGCATTGATGGAGAACATAAAGTTAATTTTCACTTTGTCATGTGCAATCATCATCTTTGGTGCCTTACTGAAGTGCCTAATATATTGTAATACACAAACACGCGCACACATAGAAAAACTAAAAAAATGGCTAAAAAGACAAAAAAAAGAGACCGAAAAACAATAAAGAGCAGCCCAAAGTGCCATTAACTCACACAAACCAAGTAAGAAGTAGAGTGATGCATAAATAAAAATATCAGGTAATCCCTTAATTAGGACATAGAAATGATTTCTAATATTGGGTTTCCTTCCAACTTTTCTGGAAAATTCTAAATGTAAAAAGATTGGGATATATTACATCAACATATAATCTAAAACAGCATTGTATGAAGTACCTGTCTTCTAATTGACCCTGACAAATTAAAGGTGCCTGATGACTCATTATTTGTAGTCAATGACAGCATCACAGTACTTGTTAAACAGTAATGGGCTGTTCCTTCCTCATCTGGCCTCACCTAAATAAGATAGAGATTTGCAGCATGATAGAGAAAATGAGCCTTAGAAATACCTAATCAATAAAAAGACGAGAGGCAGGGGGAAAAGAAAGGAGGGGGGGGGGGGGGATAGTCTTTGCATACAACGACTACCTCAATAACATGTATAGCATCCCATGCTCCCTCCTGCAGATGACCTCTTCTACCATGTCCTGACTTCGAGCCATCTTCATCCTCGAGATCAATTGCAAATTAGTTTAGGATAAGAAACTCAACTCCACCAACACAAGCAAAGGCAAAAAACTTACCTTTCTTTATCAAGAAGCAAGCTACAAAGCCTTCAGTCTCGTCATCCCACATATAAACTGATGAAATGCCACCTTCATAATACCTAACAGTTAAATGGTTAACCAAACTGCTAGTGCTTGTTCAGCAACCATTTCATCTACTATAAAAGGCACACACAATGTGAGTGATCGCTATCCAAGTTAAGACACAAAAAGGAGAGTGGGAAGTATCAAAGGGATTGGATATCTACCTTTGAGGATCATGAGCAGTTGATTTTGAGCAACCAAGAGAAACACCAAGTATGGGAGACCCCAAAGAAAATAATTGTTGCTCTCTTCTAACTTATTGTAATAGATATGTATAAATAAATCTTGTATACCCGTCAAATTAATAGAGGTGGATTATTATCTTCCTTTCACATTATGAGATAATAGTAATTGATATCATGAAAAAATAACGTACATATAAGTGCCAATTATGTTGTTTCGCATTGAAATCAATGGAAGGTTCAAAAAAAATCCAAATGGTAAACCACTTGAGGTCAATAAATTACGAAAAAGTAAAACCAACTTAAGGACGAGGTAAGTAAAGGACCTCACTGGTCACGATAAACTGCAAAGATATCATTTGCTTCAATCTCAAGTTTCCTCAACTCTGGAGATGGCTGGGGCCCGTCTTCCAATGGTGGATGATATTTACTTGACCAAGGTGATCTACACACAAAATGCAAATACAATATATGGATGTTACCAATAAAATAAAACAGAAATATGAGGAGCAATACAAATTTAATTGAATGTAAGTCTCTTCAGACAGTGAATGGGTGAAGCAAACTTATGTAACAAATCTATACTAAACTAAATAAGCTCAATAGATTGTTGACAACTAATTTGGAAAAAAAGGATTCATGAATGGCAGTTTCCATGGTGTAACAAGGGCATAAGCATTAGTATGCAGAAGAACTGTTATGGACATTGACAATAACGATTGGGGCATGCAACATACCTTTTATTGTGCATTCAAGTAGCAAGTAAACCTAACATGAGTTGGACATACTAAATTAACAGCTGCCATGCTATATCCAACTTGAGTTGGACAGATTAACTTAACAGCTATCATGCAATTAACTTCTATTACAAGTTTCAACAAGCAAAAAGTAGAGTCGAGCAATTAAGCCTTTACCTATAAGAGTCAGCATCTCTGTTGTATTCGCACAATATGAACTCCTTCCCACAGTCCACATCACATAGAACCTGTTTTCATTGATCCAAAGAAAACTGCCAACTTATCCAACATAAGATATGATACAGATAACCAATATTAAGACGTCAAAAACATGCTAAGGAAGTTCACACAAAATCCCCAAAGCACGTGCTCTCTAGGAAGCTCTATATTAAGATATATTAATCAATATATTTGCCAGAGGAGGAACCATGTATTTGTCCCAATACACATGGTTGTTGGGGGTTTTTTGTGCATTTTATTGTTAAGTTATGCTCAAAACGTGAACCAAAATTTGGAAAATGAGAAAATAAATTATTTTTTTGACCCGAAAGATCTTCCGTGGAAAATATTTTTCAACAGAATTTTTTTTGTTTTCTGTCAAAACAAACAAAGCGCTCATTTCCTCTGTTTTCTCAACGAACAAACTAACACCAATTTCCGATCCAGAACTAAAGCACAGTGTTCAAAAGAAACCTAGAGAGAATAAATTTTAGAACTCTAACATTTAGTCTGATTTTGGGATAAAATGAACATTCTCAAAACCCTAACAAATCCCAAAAAGAGCTTATCATCTCTGCACCAAACTCCCCAAAAACCGGACTAAGGACAGCAATCTCGATTATATCATAATTAACTCACCTCAAAATTCTACATGGATCACGACAATCGACAAGAAGCACCATTAAAGCCGATAAGGAAAACTAATCAAATCTCAATACTTTTCAACCAAATGGGCTATAACCAGACAAACACTAAAAAAGCGAAAAACCGTGTGCGTATATAAAGATTCATGATTGAATGTATATTTATATGTGCACCTGAAGAGGCTGATCGATTTGAGAGAGGAGATCTGAGGAATGCTCAGGCAAAAGGCTGAGAAGAGCAGAAAGAGCCGTCTCTGCGTGCTTCGGTGGCATCCTTCTCATCAGTCCCATCGCTGCCTCCATTTTCTTCTACCAAGGCCTTCTTGTCAACACCTATGCATATGTGGAGAGAAAATTTTAGAGAAAGAAAAGGAGGATTATAGAGAGAGAAAGAGGCGCGTTGTTTGATCCAAGTTTCCCTCGCGGGAAGTAGGAACCATATAAATATAGTAGAGAATAGGAAAAAAAAAAAAAAAAGAAATATCATGGAATTTAGTCACAGTGCATCGTAAAAGCACTGTATTAACTTAAAACTGCCGGCGCTGTAACATGATTGGCTAGCTTCACCAAAAATGGGTGAAACTTCATTATACACACCAAATGTCCATTTGATGTCTATTTGACTATGAAGTATTCAATCCGACTCAACTTAATCTTTTTGTCTAAATTTTTTGTTAATTTTAATAAAAGCTCTCACGTACACATCACATAAGTCAAGAGAAATGCAAAAATTGTAAAAAAAAATGACGAAAAAATATCATAACCATTAATTTTATAAAATGGTACCATCCGCAAAGCTCCTAGGCTAAACTACTAAAATATGATACCAAAAAAATATGTTATCTCATTTTTTTATTATTTTTTTAATGACAAAATGTTTAAAATTGTGCCGATTACTTCCTAGCCACCGTAAGCACGTCCCATCTCATATAATTATTATTATTGTCATCATCAATGACTCTAAATGACCCAAAAATTCAATGGATTAGGTTTGTTTTCCAATATGGCACAAAAAAGTATTACCATAGCAATAGGTGATGCTAAACAATAATCATCATTCATTAGGCACAAGAGTGGTTAAGGTGGTGACGAATTGGTGGGGGCATGTTATCATCAACTCATGGCTACTATTAGGCCTCTACCATAGGGCGTGAGTGAGATGGTGAGCTGGGTTGGGAACTTTTGACTCTGCTTTTCCATGGCTATATGATGAGTAATAAGGAGTTGATTTGAAGGAACAACTGACCCTCACATGCAAAGTCACAGACAAAGCAATGAAAAAATTCGCTTTGGTTGTATAGCCATGGTGACCCCACAAGGCCACAAGCAGTCCAAAAGAGATGATAAGATGATTTTGACTCGGCTGTGTGCGATGTCTTGGATGCTTTTTCCATTCAATCAGAGAAACAGGCCCGAGGCAATATAACTATAGCTAGGAGTCTGGTTGAAAGAGCTCAAACGAATTCGAGTTAAATCTAACAAATTTGTTTACTTATTCCAATCTAAAAAAATGTTCTAAAACGAGTTAAACTTAAATCGAGGCCGAATATTTAAAAATAAACAAGTCAAAATTCAAGTTAGAATCTATCAAGACTCATTTTTCAAACGAGCTTAAAATTTTTTTCAAATTTGACTCATTTATAAAACAAGTCAAATTCTAGTAACTCAATTTGATTAACCGCCCTAACTAGAACCCGAACTTGAACCCGAATCCAAATCCAAACCCATGCAGCATTTCATGGGTGGACACTTAATATCATCGCTTGAAATCCAACAACTATTACAACATCAACTACAACAACTTAGGAAATACTAGAATTGGTGTATAAAAACTAAGGATTATTTGGGAAAAAGGGAAGGGGGTGGGGGGGGGGGGACGCTTTTCTTTCCTTCTCCATGAAGCTTGACCAGTCAAATCAACAGTAAAATTGGAGCGACAGCAGCGGTCAATAAAAAAGTGTAAGCAAACTTGTCCTCATGACAAAGAAATATAAGGCCAGCCCCTTGGTCATCAAAAATTTTTATGCAAGATGTGCTGAACTCAATCCCAGAGTAACACGGTGATTCTTTGGCCTTCCAGAAATCTACCAGAGCTTCAACCAACACTATTAGCAGTAAATGGAATTAATCCTCATCCGTGGTTGATTCTAACATAAATTTTCTGGTACAAAGAAAGTATATAGAAAATAAAATTAGGAAACAAAAATAACTAAACCATGATACATAGAACGAGAAAAAAGTACGGTAAGGCAGGTCCTTTGTCTCAGCCAGTATAGGTTCCAAGGGTAAAAAAACAATAAGCTCTTACTTTTGTGATCCAACTCCAGAGTTCCATTTAATACGCCGCTCTTCATAGGATGCTGGAAAGAGGCCAAGCATTAGTAGGAATAGAGCAGAAACAATTTATGATGAGTTTCCAGAAAGCTGAGCTACCAATAAATAAACAAAGATATCAACTGCTTGTTTTGTAGGTCATTTCATCAATAGAAGTTGATATCTTTCTTGATTGGAAAATAAAAAAGAGCTAAATTTGTCAACCAATTCCCAAGCCATCCAAATAGAACTAATTCCAGTAAATGTTTCATCCATCCTGTAAACCCCCCCCCCCCCCTCTTCTCTTCCCAAACCCCAACCAAACCAAAAAAAAAGAATAATAGAACAGCGCACACACACACATTGAGCGGTATAAGTATCATGAAAAGCATTGTAGAAGTCAAGAACTGTTGGTGTTCAGCAAAATATTCTGCGTATAGATAATGACCGCAAGCCAAAGTTTAAAATCAGGTTTTTTCCTAAAAAGAATAACCCTATAAATCTTTCTCAACCATAAATAGAAAACTGACAAAATTTAACTGCACAAACAGAAGCAGCACACAACTTAAAGTTCAAGGCATGACAACTCACGCTCAGTTGGCCGTGAAATGAGAGGAACATGGGAAGGTTCTTTCTTTTTCTTTCTATTACTAAATGGACGGTCATCTGCGAGTAGGGAGTTATTTCAGCACTAACAGAATAAGGCGGAAAGAAAAAAAAGCTGAAAACAATAATGCTTGAATATTGCTGAGCGCACCATTTTCAATAAGTGAACAGTTAAGTAAAGCCTCATGAATGATTGCAGCATGGAGTTTGTATGTTCGGCATTCCTTCTCCAAATGCGCATGCAAAGCTTGCTTGGCATCTATGCACAAAAACCATAAACACATATAAGTGACCAATCAGAGAATGTTGATCAACTCAGACAGCACGATGTGAAAACGCATCACACAAAGGACAATGGAAAAAAAGAAGGGGACTCATACACATCTGTGCAGTACTCCTCTCCCCCAAGCCAAGATAAAAAAAAATCAGCAACTTAAAGCATGGCCAAGCTCATATGCAGATGAAACAGAACAACAAAATATAATGTTAACGGGATCCCCTAGTTCAAAATTCAGAAGACTAAGATATATAATATGCAGAGAAAAGAGATTTAGGTAAATGTAAAAAGATAATGTCAATCAAAATCCAAGGAGAAATTAAAAAAGAAACCAAGCATAAAGCATACGAAAAAGGGAACGAAATAACAATGAAAAAGAAACAAAATGTTCATCACATTAGTAATGTTCAACAAAAAAAAAAAGTACAGGATCACCTTAGGCCTATGGAATATTTCATGAACATATAACGAATCATTTTCATATATAAGAAAGTTGCAAGAAGTTGTAACTATTTTCGTATGGAAGTACAAAGAATAAAGAGAAGATTCAAAATAATTAACATCCACTGAAGATAGGATGCAGCCAGCACTTGTTGCCTCAATCTTACAAAACTTGGTATTGCGAGAAAAAAAAATCTTAATCATTCCATATGCTTCCCTGACTAATTACACACAAAGGAGGCAAGCATAGTGGAGGCTTAATTAATAGGATACCAGAAAAGATAATTAACAATTAGAGCTACACTGAGGGTGAAATAAGTCTGCCAGTCCAGCTATGGTTCAATGCTCATGTACCTGATGAACACATAAATTTGAGATCTTCAAATTCACAGGATTGAAGAACAAGGGGAATCTCTGGGGCCATTGGGTATTGAGGTTTCCTTGGTGTCCTTGCAATATCCAGTAATGAGTCAATTACCTACAAATCCAAACACAGTATCTCAGCTCCTAAAAAATCATACAGATAATAAAAATTTAGAAATCTTTCCTTCAGGTCCCCTTGAAGAATGTGATCATATTAGGACTCATCCAAAAGTGCAAACATAAATTAGTTTTCCAGGTCAGGAGGAGAGGAACCAATAATATGATAAATCCTCCCAAGCATCTCCCACAATGATGTCAATCATGACGACTGGCTAGCAAGCCTTGTAGCTTACGTAGCTCGAAGAGCTCTAGTGCATTTATACAATTTTTGTCCCAGGGATGGATAAATATTTGACAAAAAGGATTGAACAAGATACAAGGACTGTTGTCTGCTAATCAGCCCACCTGGTAAAGCAACCAAGTCACCCTTAACCAGGCTCCCCGGATGTCTGCAGAGTTGAGGAATAGGGCACATCAAAAGGATGTTCAGCACAAAGGTAAGTTAGATGTCCCCAGCAATATGAAACTCATCCTTTTCACTAGCCTGACATGTTGCCTCCCCACATCCCTGCTGCCCCGTCACCTCATCTATTCCAGCCACATCTATTAGTTAAACATATCCTTTTGACCGACTCCATAGGATGGGCATCTTAGTTGTTATCATCAAAATTTATTGTATATTTGATTGATTCCTTTCCAGGGCACAAAAAGATATAGTAACAAAACTTAAAACCAATCAACTCATGAGGACATCGGTTACGCACATCAAGGGATTCAAGACCCTGGCCAATCAAAAATAGAACAGCAACCATGCACCGGACCTGGTGCCACAGGAAAGCACTACCTACTATTCTAATCACCCAGAGTTCATCACGTCCAAACCTGCAGAAAAAAGAAAACATTTTCCCATACTCAAAAGTCAATAGAATCAAGATAATTCCTCGAGACCAGGGTTATTTATCAAGAGTGTGTGTAAAAAATGATAGGAACATACGTTCACTTATATATCTTGACAGAGGAATGCCAAAGTTAAATCCAAGGGAAACAGGATTAGAACACGTACTATATATGAGAATATAAATGTAACAGGTCTCACCACCAATTTCAATTTCAAGTGTAGTTTAGTTTTCTTTTTCCATTAAGATAATTCCTTAACAATCCTTATAGAACTTTTTTCTACCACCAGCAACATTCCAACAGTCCATTACACATTCCAAGTAAAGAAGGGACACATTGCACAAATACAATCAAATGCAGAACTACGTAGTCCTCACAACTTCTATCTCATCATCAGCAATCCCAGAAAGTTATTAAACTCAAGATAGACAATCAAGATTTCCATTATAGGCACTACTAATCAATTTGATGATGACAAATCCACAGAAGAAAATAACAACAAACCAAGGAAAAAAAAAAGTACTCAGAAAAACCAAGAAGGTGACCCATGTAAAAATCAATATCACGTCATTGGATGTATGAAAGAAGAGCGGGAAAAAATAAAAAGCAAAAGGGTTAAAGATTATTGGTTACCACTTTCAACCTTTCATTGCAGGGCAAAATTTCGAACAAGAAGATATGCCGCCTATAGTTGTGCACATTAGCTGCATCCATCTTACAGAAATTTCTGAAATCATGTTGTCCAACAAATTTCTTGGCAGCGGTTTCCATTGCCTGGTGAGACATGTGAATATAAAGCTTTCAAAATCTTAGCATTAGACTAGCAGAGGTATATGGACTCACATCTGTAACAAACCATAAAAAACAAGATGCCAGTACCAATATATTCAGTTTCTCTCTCCAAAAAAAGTACTTGTATACCCTTCTCAAACAACTGAATCTGCAAATTTCAAAGAAAACAAATCAGACCATTTAAACTCAAAATTAACATAAATGGAGAATGAAGCCCGAAAAGTGTAACTCTCCCAGTAGGTTACCTCAAGCACAAACTTCAAGATAACAAGTATTACCAATATAGCCTAAACAGACTTAGTCCTGTCCTTTGAAGGCTATATCTCATGGACTTAACTTCCCCTGAAGCCCCCCCCCCCAAAAAAAAAAAAAAAAAAAACATAGATGATAATGAAAAGCAAAAGTTTGAAGCTTTTTATTTCCCATGAGGATATAGAAGGGTAATATTGTAAAAGCTTGATATCTAAATTCGTTTATTTGAATTGCTGTTTGCTTCCTGTGCACAAAAGGATTCGTAACATTTGTACCCTTTCAAATATCTGTTAAGAGTGCTTACAACTACATCATAAATGAAGTCCCTTCGTCAGTATCTTAACCATAGTTTTCTGGTAGTTTTCTCACAGAAATTATGATATGGTAGCATTTGGTCAACAAATAATGTATCAGGGATCTATCCTTTAGAAAAAAACTGCGTAGTTCAACATGCACGATAAAATATCCTCATTAACGCTAAAACTTCAAAGTTGCACCAACCTTGCACTGAAATCAATTGGAGCAGGAGACCAGCCCATGACTCGAATATCTTGAGGAAGGACACGATTCAGAAGTCTCACGTAATCTATTTCTCCTTCTGAGATGTACACATACAAATAGAGAGACTGGGTCAGAGTAAAGACGACCCCATCCAAGGAGATCTGAATAATTTGCAACTACTCAATAGAAATTCAAACACCTTTATCTCTAACATATTTCAATGGGATAAACCTTGCATTTTGTTAACTAAATTTGAAACTATATTCTTGGCTGAAACCATGAATTATATGTCTCATATCCATACAACCCTCATCCAACTATATTGAAAGCTATAACTAATGATCTACAGCCCCATCTTATCCAGGCCTTACACCCTCCATTCAAACATAATTTCTACTAGGGATGGAAAAGAAAATGCCAGCATCTCGCTACATTAGATATAGAACTTGTCATGATAAATAACCAAGGCTGATTATTAGAAATTACAGTTCACATTCACAACAAGGAGATAGCTGACCATAAAGCTCTTCAGGAATATTTTTCACAGTATATCCATTTCTAACCCCTGCTTCCTTGCAATTTGACCGTAAAAACAGAGCAATCACCTGCATGAACCATTCCCACATAACCAAATGAAAAAATAATAAAGATAGAAGGGTGCTCCTAAAGCTGCCTATAGATGCACATAATAATAAAGAGGACTAGGAAGGGAGAAATTAAGTCCAAAAAAAGGAAAAAAACTATGAAAAGAATTTAAAAATGGATGATACCATGAGCAAAGAGAGATGGAATATAATCATTGTTATCACAATTCACTCAACCTTTAATGACCCACGATTTGGGTACATCGGTTCCAAATGGCGTGTGTTCGCGATCTAAACAACCAAAATGGACGATCTCAAATTGTAATACTAAACCTAAATCAATTCGCATTGGAACATGTAACACAAATATAAAATACATATCAATTGACTACATGTATATACAATTGTAATTATATATTATTTTAGATAATAGAAAATCAAACATAATTATAAGAAAAATGGTAATTGACTTAGTGTCTATGAATGTTCTGTCATATATAATGTTGTATCGTAGTGAAAACGATCTATATAAGAGTTCTAAATCAAATTGCGACCCAAAATACCGTACCAACTAAGTCTACCTTCATCAGACCACACATACCTAAGAAAGTGTCATTGAATATAATCTCTCTTACAGGTGTTGTGTCTAATACTTCAGGACATTGGAAACATAATGTAAGACTTGAACTTAAAACAAAAGTAAGGTCAGCTAAATATAAGCCCTGAAATGCACCGCTTGGAGTCAAATATATAGAGCATTTTATCCTTCAGTAAGCTCTATGTAGAGCCATAGCCTCAATTGAAAGTTTAAGTCCAGCAATCATTTCCTTTCTTACAAATTCAATTATTGTTCTCCTCACCAAATTTCAACTTATAATGGTCAAGGTTAGTCTGTAAACACTCCAACAATTCTAAAAATATGAAACCGAAGGTAAAGGTTGAGTTCTGTTAAATAAAAGCAATCATGTACAAACAACTAAATTGTATCTAATAATTAACATTTTCATAATCTTTACTAACACTAGGAAAACCAAAAGGTAGCGCTTACTTGTCCAACAGAAGATACTCCCTTGTCTGTTCTACCACATCTTGAGTACTGCAAGTCCTTCTTGTCACCAAATATGAGTCTCGCCTTCTCAAGAGCTTTAAAAATTTCAGACTGTAAGGAATATAATTTTATACGAAGAAAATTACGTTATCTGCTAAATACCAATTCAATGACAAGTTAAGACCCCAAGAAATACACTAGCAAATCCATGTGGATGCTAAGCATATTTTCTCCAGCCTAATTCTCTGCTTTCCTCAAATGTGTTATAGGATGGAGTTCAGTGTCATTATTTACTACATATATAAAGGTTAAAACAATGATGTTTGGAAGGAGGCCTTGTCCACAATTGTATCATTATTTTTGTATTCTTTTTTTTTCTTTGATAACGTGTTAAACAAGAAAATCTACATGAAAGTGAGAAGCATTCCACCGAGAAAGTGGCTGGGGTTGGGTGATAAACAAGACATGAAGTCAAAAAAACAAAGAACAAACTATTATACTTCCCCAATCTTCATGTGATAATAAAGATGAAAAGTTTAGGAATCGAATTTTCTTACACTACATATGCTAAGATCTTGAACCTGTAGTGATGTGGGACCAGAGAGAGTGTGTTTGTGTGTGCACGCATAAAGAGAGGTGGGGAGAGGAGAAGAAGGAAAGAGAGGTTGAAGAGAGAAAGAAGATGATAGAAAGGAAGCGAGAAAGAAAGAGAAAATAAAATTCTCACAATATTTAATTTGCCAAAAGGCCCAAAACTTCTCAATCCTCACACAAGGTTTGCATGTATATGGGCTGCCGCATGTCCCCAAATAATACAATTGATAGACATTAGTAATGAAATCCAAGTGTTAAGGAATTTTAAAAGTTAATTAGTTAAACCTAACATCTAATAAATATTAGTCATAAGTACATCCTTGTAATGACAAAGACAGTTGTCAATTCTTCTGCTGAATTGTGTGAGTTCTTTAGGTAATGTTCTGCATGCTGTTAAGGAAGTATGTGATAAGAACAAGCATAAGGGTACACCTGAGAAACTCTCAGGATTCCAGATTTTACATCAAGGAAATAACATCAAAAGCATCTGGGTTGATGTCTCTATTTTTTTGGGCTACTCCACACGAGGGCATAGTATAGAGAGTTAGAACAAGGGGACTTGGGAAACAGAAAGGTGAAGACGGGATACATCAATCACTTGCTGCTAACATTGAACTTAGTGATACTGATATCATTTCTCCACAGTAGTTTCTTAATTTTTTACATTGCCAATCCAAAGCACAGTCATACAATGAGTAATGCATTAGGCAGATCGTAAACACGGAAGCTGCAGTCAAACCTTTGAATTGACAAAGCAATGTGATTAGCTTCTAAATATTCAATTGGTTGTAACATAATCACAACAGAGTGACATATAACAGTGTTTTGACAGCAAGCTCCATCTCATGGTAGAAAATAAGTTATGGAAAAAGAAGAGAGACACTAAATAATGGTACATATCCTTGGTTTCTAGACGCTCAATTTTTTTCTCTGATTAAGTACATAATCAATTTTTACCACAATTTAGACCATAGCCAGTAGAAAAACTTTTTTCAGGTACAAGATGCTTCCCTTTCTCAACAATAGATGCTGGTAATCACAATAATTTTGAAGAATATCAATATAAAAACAGCTTTCACCACAAACATGATGCACCTCAGTTAACCAATGCAACGGACTCAAGGTCGTTGTTATTGACTACTAAGCTAAACTATTTCTTCCACACTAGACAATAGGACGACTGGAAGATGAAGAAACACACCTCAACAGTTGGATCCATCTGTGCCTCTGAAGCGAAACCATAGAACCTGCAATGTAGCCCATATGCTAACAGTCACAGTACGAACAAGATGAATTATCGAAATGCACAACATAGGAAATACAAATCAAAATTTTAATAGTTTTCACAAGTAAACCATAACATAGAACTATAAATTCAACTGTACAAGAAATTGGGAAAAGTAATGAGAATATAGATTAAAGTATATAAAATACTGTGCAGCTTAAATGGTCAACCGAATAAAACCTTGTCCTAACAACCTTAGGTTTGATACACAAAGCCTTTGTTGCCAGTCAACCATATGCACAAGGGATAAAAAATAAGAATTATTTCATTTGAGTATGGGTTGAATCACTATAAAAGAGTTACTTGAGTTTTGTCTATGGCCATACGACAGGCAGGATGAAAAGATGAAGGAGAATAAACAAATTAGGTGGTAATTACGAGGACCCAATGTGGTAACATCCTGATTAACTTTGTGCTTGGGTGATGGTAAAAATCACATTGATCACTTCTTTCAGAGAAATGGCCTCTAAAGGGAAAATCAGTTGTCATAAGCCTATTTATTTGACATTATAGATGACTGGATAATGAGGGGTGGTTTCATATTTGTAGGCTGATCTGGTGTATTAGTCTTTCCTAGGTGGCCATTTTGCTTTAAGAGGGTCGGTTCATCGGTACAACCTTTGTAACTTCATGGTATAACACCAACAACCAAGCAGGTTGTAAAGAAAATACAATTACTTGTTTTGATGTCTATACTTTCATATTGATTGAGACAGAGCATGGTAGGGGAGTCAAAAGAAAAGCCACGCATAATGAGAAAATCTTTTTACAACCATCCAACTTCTTTATTGATTTTCTTGAAACTCACCATAAATCGGTGCAGCAAATCCAATAACTTATTCTTTATGCCTACATCAAAAGACCAATGCTTGTGAAAACTATCCACTCTGGTTTCAAGTTAGGACATCGTATCTGATTTTTTAACTTTATGACAAGCAATGCCTTCCATATAACAAAAGCCTAATCCAATGGTATACTTTAATATTGCTTTGTTAATATTTCTTCCATACTCTCCTACCCTTTCGATTATGCACAGTTTTTATCCTCTCAGTTTATTTAATTGCTCTTAAGGAAGAATGGCACAACAGTTGTTGGGACAGAAGGGTGAACGGATCAAATATTCAGGTGTATTTGGTGTGATGGAGAAAAGTATTCTACATGGATTAAATAGATAGGTGGGGCTACAAGTTGTACCTCTGACCAAAGTACAAGACTTTTAGAGCAACATATCTCTTTAAAGGCTGGCGCATGATCCTTGTGTTACAACCTGTATTCAAAAGATGATAATTATAAACGTATAAACATGTGTGCTTGCTATATTGTATCTGCACTTACACAAATAGTAACTCACTATGACTATATGAGAAAGACAGCCGGGCAAAAGTCAACTTCACCAAAATATTAAGCAGTTTACCCTAATACCAACTTCCTATCAGAAAACTAGAAAACTAACTAATTACAATCACATTGAGTTTGCAAATGAATAAATCCAAAATAACTTATTTGCATAAGTTCAAGAAAATATATAACTCCTCAAATGAAAAACCATCAGTCAAAAACCATCCATGAAAAAGAAAAGAAAACAAAACGAAACGAAAGATTAAGTCCAATTTGCAGCACCGGTTATGTGCTTGTAAACATATCCAACTGGCCATCTTGGTTTATATTAATATTTTACTACTGATCCCAACCGTGCAATGCACAGGACTTATAAACCCTTGTTTTTTTCCTTAATCATTTTTTCTTTCTCATTCTTATATTTGAAAAGTTGAATAAAAAATATTGGATAATAAAAATAATTTCTTAGAAAGTTTTAATAGATGGTGGGTAGTTAGTGGGAAAAAACATGGGTCGTTATACTTATAAGCAACACATGCCAAAATATGATTTGAATAAACTTTTGAAATCTATTTAAACAATTCAAAATTCTTTAAAATTATAAACTAAGGAGGGAAGGTATCTCAAAATGTCTCCCTAAGAAATTGTTTGTTTTATTTATATAGATAGATAAATAGATTTGTTGGTTTCATAGTTCTAACAAGTTGTGCAAACTCAAACCATAAAATTCTTAGGGCATGTTTGGTTCAGGTACAAATCTCATCCAATCCATAAAATGGTGTTAACAAGAGTATTATTTAATTTTATCCTTGTATAACAAATTTGAATTAAGATTGGGATAATACATAAATCTATAATTATAATACCAAATTTATGTTTGAATTATGTAATAGCATATGGTATTAAGTTAAAAATGACAAAACAAATATTGGGGGTAAGAATGGACATAATGTATAATTTTTATATGAATGTGTGACTTTAACTTGTTAAAAATAATACTACCTAGTATTCATTACTACCCAATATTAGTTGTTAATACCTGGCCACTATTAACGGATTAAATTAATCCAATCCACCCCTTAATACCTAAACCAAACATACCCTCCAACATACGACGTAACTACGCATATTAAATGAATGAGATTCAACAAAACTTATCTAAATTAAAGAAACTCCAATGAGGAGCTTGATCATCACGGTTTAACAGATTCCACAAAACATATATATTTTTCAAATAAATGAATAAATCAAAAAAACAAAAACCTGGCTCTCTCTCCTTCAATTTCTTCTTTGCAATCCCTGCGTTTTGACAGCGGCAATTGGAAACTCGAGCAGATAGTTTGGCATTTTCAGCTTCTAATTCCTGAAATTTGATGTAGTGAAATTACGAGAAATACAGGAATGCATTTAAAAGAAACTCGAGCCGATACCTTGACTCTGCTTCGGAGAGACACAAGTTCGGCCTGTAAGGCGCTGGTGAGGTCTGTCTCGGGCTGTAGAGGATCGGCGGACTCGGCAACCTCGGAGCGTTGATGATAATCCATGCTATGGCCGCTTGCAGTCGGCAGGACACTCCCCTAATGTCTCTTAAGACCATTTTTTTCCCCTCTTTCGGTAAATTTGATAAATGCCCCCTGAACTATGATGTTTGTTTGAAATTACCCTCTGAATCTTTAATTGTCCTAAATTATCCTTTAAACTACTATCCATCTAATATTAAAGGAAAGAAGTTGAATTTTTAACTTATAAAAGTAAAATAATGGTCAATACCGGTCCAATCTCTATTTATTTTTATCTAACAATTTAAAACTCATTCCATAAAAGTTTTTTCTACTCAAAAACATCTTATTCTATGTACAATTCTTAATGTCAAATAACTTAATCAATACACTCTCCAATACCATACAATTTCATCAATCTACACCAACCTCTTTGTTTCTCTCAATTTATTTTAATTTTAAATTGTGTAATTAAAAAATATAAATTTACTATTTAAAAATATATAAATATTGCATAATTAATGTTTTATTTTTTAGTATTGCATAGCATATTCAGGTACGGGATTATCGCTAATTAATCAACAATTGAAACAAATTCCGTTAAATTTATCGGTTAAATAAGACATAATTCGTTATATTCAACTATTAATTTATCTCATTTAATTGTTAATTTTCGTGGAAGGATAGGAACGGTTTAATTTTTGATTTTGAAGTTTTGAGTTCTATAGTGTCGAAGAATGTGTGTATGTAGCTCCTTTTTTTTTCTTTTATTTGTACTTCTTGGGTTCGACTCTATTGGTTTTGTGTCAAATGATTAATCCCATGAATGGGAAAATAAAAAATAATAATAAAACAAAATACAAAATATATAACATCGTTCAATACAATATACCTACATTTATATACCGTATTTACATCCACGAATCAAAAGTTATATTAATTTATTATTCAATAAAAATCTAATAATTGATTACATAATACTCAATCCCTATTTATGTGGACTAGATGTTGCATGTGGATTATTTTAAAATTTGGTAACATATAAAATTGGTGTAAAGAATATAGAATAATAATAATCATTACTACGTGGAAGCCGAATGAGTGTTTTTTACAAAATTTATCAACTTTTTTGTTATTCTTAAAATAATTTGTTTGTTATAAAGTTTATTATGAGTCAATTATAGGTCAGGTGATCTACATTCTTTATTGTACACGCAAAAACAAAAATAAAGGTGTGAAAGTGGTTGTTACTCAAAATGCCTTCTTTTTTTTTCTTTTTTTTTTTAATTATTGCAACCAAATCAATACCATACGGATCGTATTAACAGAATCAGCACAAAGCAAAACACATCATCTCCAATTTGGGCTGCATTTTAACTTGTCCCATTGTTTAAATTATCATCAAAGCATCTTTCAATTCTTTAAAAAAACTTGAGCACGTGTACTTTGAATACCAAAACTTGTTCAAAAATTCTACACAAAGGGTAATGTCATCAAAATGTAATTTACACTAAGATTACGATTTTAATCAATTTAGCCCAAGCTTGAAGCACTCAATTTCCTCAAGACTTATTGCAAGCATCCTCTAGAAAACAAGATTTATACAACACCCAGTTCTTATTTCTAACCCACCTACCCCAGTTAAGTGCTTAATGTAAATAAATTGTGAGAGAGTGATCTTAAGGGCTGTTTGGTATGCGAGTTTGGGGGGATTTGAATTGTGGGTTGGAGAATAAATCCTTTAAACTCATGTGTTGGTAACCCATGTTTAACCTAAGGTTTAGAAATCCAGGCCGTTTGATGGTTCGGTCATGAAACTTATATACTTGAGTTTCATGAAACCTAATGGAGGAGGGTTTTTATATATGGGTTAAAGGGTTTAATATTCAAATGACATTTATACTCTCATATATCATATATACCCTATATATACAAATTGTTAAGAGATAAAATAGTCATTTATATACAAATATATTGTTATAATAATCATATGTCCCTGCACATACCAAACATGGGTATAAACAATATTTAATGTTAAATCCTATATTTGGGTCAAATTCGATTTTAAACAAGTCAATTCACCCTAAGTGGTGAAATGTAATCATAACATTGAGTGGTGGGTCACTCAACTATAGAGATATCTTTAGAAGCATAATTTCAATAACTCATGAAAGATTAATTGCTTGCAAAATTGCACATAAAATCATTCTTTATACATCAAAATTAAAGACAAAAAAATTTGACATGTTTCAATAAGGACAGTGCAATAAAAATAACGACTAAAGGCAAGATTCTTCATCTCAATTGATACCCAACTAGATCAGAGAATTCGCCTTCCAGTAATCTAAGTTTGTGTACTGCATTATTCGGGATTTAACACCCCAAACACAAAATAGTTTAGACATTATTAAATTACATCAAAGCATAATCCAAATCTATTCGGTGGACCAACAGACATGGACCCAGAATTGAAATCCAATCTTTGCTTGCTTCACAGCAAAGCAATGCACTGATATTCATTACAGCTATTCCAGTCAAATGTCTCATAACCTAACAATGCGAGATGGCTGTTGCGGTATTTATAGCTGTAAAATTATTTAACTTTCTGATACAGGTCACCGATGTGGGAAGAGTTGTTTTGCTCTAAAATTTCATTGTGCTTTCCTTTTTTATTTTATTTATGGCTAATAAGTAGTTTTTTTTCTCATTTGTAGCACTTTGACATCCTCTTTTTAGGATAAGCCAATGACAAACGAGGAAAATTGAGTTATCCCATTCAAGTGTTTATAACATTTGAATTAATGTTAAAATTGGTTTTTTAGGATAAACCAAAAACAAATGAGGAAAATAAATGTTTTTTGCTCTGAGTTGTCTTTTAGTAATAGTATAAAAATAGATAAATAAAATATTATAATTTAAATATATTTAGATAAAATTTGATTTTTTAGATTTTTTTATCATATGTCTAATATAATACAAATTCATAATATATGAAGACTCTTTAAATTTATTTTTTATTTGATTTGGTCAATAATAAATATATTCAATGAATACTAATAATCTACCTAATATTATGATTAGAAAGTTTAATTCTCAGTTTATAAACACACAATAACGGTCAAATTTGATTCACTTTTTATTTAGTATTTTCAAATAGTCCAAAATTGGGGATAACCCGATGCCTGAAGATATGGTGCAATATAAATCATATTAAATAATTTTGAGAGAAATATTGGTGGACGTTAGATGGATATATTTAAGACCGTCGGACAATTTTGTTAAAGTTTTCCATGTTTTATATTATAGATTTATCCTAAAAAAACTTCTCGTTAAAAAATATCATCTTCTTTATACCAAATGTCAAATAATTCAATCAACACATTCTGTAATACCGAATAATCTTATCAACCCACTCCTACCTCTATTTAATTTTAAATTACATAATTTAAAAAAATGAAATAACTATTTAAAATATAGAGATTGCATAATCAATGTTTGATTTTGGGTATTACATCATGCACAAGATTATTGCCTATATAATACAGCATAAGCACCTCACACACATTTCATATAATTATAGGTTGGTGATACACGTGTCAGTTTTAGACCTTTAAGCGGAATTTCCCGGGCTTTCCGGTTCAAAAGGCATCACCAAAGCACTCTCGTGTCCGTTGGATGAATAGTTTCTCTCTCCTTGATCTTCGTTGAGCTTCAACTGAACCAAAAGACCAGTTCATAGCCACCACCACCTGTACACCATTTTCAGTTTTACACCCCCAACCCCAAAACCAGAAATTGGTATGATCAAAGTACCATAATCCGGAAATCAAAGCCACTCTCAAATTTCACCAGCACTGGGACGGCCGGCGTCCCACCTCACACCGGCAACCGGTGGCTATTTCTCTCATCCACACCAATTTGCGGTAAAGCTTTTGAGTCCTCAACTTTAATTTGCAGTCTGAATCTTCGTTTCAATGCATTATTAACAAATAACAATCTATGGTTTCTTAATTTTTCTTCTTTATAACTGTTTCATGTGTAATGGGATAAGGATACCCAATATTGTGTTATTCTAAATAATGAAAAGGTTTTTGTGGAATTCATTGTTTAAAACTCTGCTTGAACTGGTTAAAAATGTCATGCTAACAGGATTAAGGTCCTCTTCATTCCACGTTCCCCCAATTTTATTGATGATCTACCTGAACACTAATAAATTGTGGGTCCCATGTGTATTCATGGTAGATGATCTACCGTTCAATGAAATTGAGTGAAAATGTACCGCAGAGTATTTGGATCCACGCCAACAATCGTGACTTGGTTTTTTCAATATCAAATCTTAATCCTTAGTGCAGTTTATTCAAATAATAGCAAATGTTAGGTATGTATTAATACTCAATTAACAGGACCAAACTGGATAATGGATAATCCTTATGGCTTTACAGTGTTTTTTTTTTTATAGGAAACAAAACTGTTGTATTGATTTGAAATTAATATATCAAAGAGTTAATAGGATGGACAAGATGTCCAACCATAAAATGAATTAAATAAATAAAATTGCACTCAACACTAAAAAAATTAAGGGGCACATGAGGCTTTCCAATCCGTCAATATAGCCTTACCATATTACTACTCAGAAAGTGTAAAATTTCAATGGCTCAATGTAAAAAGATAGGTGGGGTTTCTAAATGTGCTAATGTGGTAAAAGATGATATCGTGGAAGATCAGGATAATACAGGACTGCCTAGTTGCTTGAAGGGGGCGGTTCTCCTCCAGTTTTGTTTGGGAGATGGGGAATTTATATTACAATGGGACAATAATGTGTACAGTTACAATATCTTGGATGTATTGCTCAAATTAAAAGTTATTTGTTAATTAAGCGTTGTGTTGCATCATACCTAGTTCTTGTTCTAGTGGTGCGTCCTCATTCTGAGTGCAATTTTAATTGATACTGAATAGGATCATGATGCAGTAAATTATAATTTTCCAATTTATGTGCATATTCTAGGCCTTTCCATATCATAACTGAAGATTTTAGGGATAGTTGCTTATGCCTGAAGTAAGGGTTTCTTTGGGGTAAGTGTTAATACGAATTACTAGTGTTGTTAATCGCCGAATTTGTTCGTTTGTTCATTCTAGCTGTCAAGTTATGATGTATTGGTTCTATGTTGTGGCATTGAACAAATAAGGTGTGCTATAGCACATTCACATTGTCTTAAATATGTTCTATTTGTATTATCATTCCCGTGTATGATTTAAGTATGTTAAAAAAATTAGAAGTGTTCATTGTTGTAACTTTTCTACGTGTCCTTTATGAATTTTGACCAAAAAATATAATCTGTTTTGTTTATTCATTTGTCTGACAGACGTTTCCGATTATCTTCACATTTTTTCTCTCATTTTTATATTTTTCTGATTCAGTTTTGTGGCATTGGAGCCCAGTCAGGAGTATCATGCCAGACATGTTGATACAAAAGTGATTTACACTCCAGCAGAAACCTTTTGGAGACCAGAGTATCTGAACGCCTAAGAGGAACCTTTGATTGTAGCCCCTTTACGACTTCTCTTCTTATGTCAATCAATGTTGTCAATGATAACAGTCTAGCAGATCTGGTACACACTGTGCAGTCTCCTGGAAGTATGAATTGTTAGTGGCTTTTACAATCTAATATGATGGATTTCACTGATGGTTATTTGTCAAATGAGCATCAGGAACAACTTTGTTCTGCTTCTGAAAGTGCAGATCCATTATCCATCTCTCCATTGCAGATTTCTATGTCCACAAAGTCACCAAGATCCCCAAAATCGCCAAGATCCCCAAAGTCTCCAAGATCTCCAAGGTCTCCAAATAATCATCAAGGCAAACATGGCACAAACAAGGGGAGCCCACTCAAGAATGAAAGGCATTCACATTCTGGAAAAGATGGCCATCCTAAGAAAGGTAATATGTTACTCTGCTTTACGTTTAGACAAATTTCATAACACAGATTTTCTTGTGTAATGGTTAATATTAGGTGTTGAAAAAAATTGGTAATTATGGTGTTGAAAAAAATATTTTAAGTATAACAGTTCTAGGAAGGTAGAACTGTTGTAATGGCTTGAAATAATATTGTGCAGATTAATGAATGAGATTGTACTGTCAGTGGGTTTCTGGAAAGTATCTTTTTGAGTAGTTTTTAGTTTGCTACTCCCTTCGTTCCTAAATATCTGTCGTTTAAGGTTTTTGCACAAGGATTAAGGAAGCTATTAATTAGCTCTAATATGAGTAAAAAATAATTACACAAGACTAAAATACCCTTATTCAATACATATTAGGAAGGAAAGGAATATGAAAGACATTTAGCCTATACTTAATCTATTAAACACTTATTGAAAAACAGAAATAAGGGTAAACTTGGAAGAAAAAATATTTATTATGCTTTGGTTTCATAAAACGACAGATATTATGGAACAAAAAAAATTGTGTAAAACGGCAGATATTTAGGAACGGAGGGAGTATTACATGCTGCTTTTTCTGGATTAACTAAATTGCTATTTACAGATCATTCTAATAATTTGTGATGAATATCACTTGCAGGTGGTTCTGGGGGAAAAGGAACTTGGGGAGGTTTACTTGATGTGGATGATAGTTATGCCCTCGATCCCAATGACCCAAACTACAGTAGCAATGAGGTATAGTAGTCGACAGCTCTTGTACTACTACCCCCTTCCCCACCCCCTTCATTTGAACAAATTGTCACTCTTGACGGTGACCAAAATGAAATTCATGGTTGCAGGAGCATGAACAATCAAGCACCAGAAAACCAAGTGCACAATTTGAGGAGTACAAAAAGAAAGCCACAATTATAGTGGAAGAATACTTTGCCACTGATGATGTTGACTCAACTGCCAATGAATTAAGGGAATCTGGAATGCCAAGCTATAACTATTATTTTGTGAAGAAGCTTGTCTCTATGGCTATGGATAGGCATGACAAAGAGAAAGAAATGGCTGCAGTTCTATTGTCCTCACTTTATGCTGATGTCATTGATCCCCCACAAGTTTACAAAGGCTTTAGTAAGCTTGTGCAATCTGCAGATGACTTGATTGTAGATATACCGGACATAGTTGATGTCCTTGCATTGTTTATCGCACGAGCTGTGGTTGATGACATACTTCCTCCGGCATTTTTGACAAAAGAAATGGCCTCTTTATCCAAGAATTCAAAGGGAGTTGATGTCATTAAAAGAGCTGAGAAAGGATACTTATCAGCCCCTCTCCATGCAGAAATAATCGAGCGCCGCTGGGGGGGCAGCAACAACAAAACAGTTGAAGATGTGAAGGGTAAGATTCACAATCTGTTGGTTGAGTATGTAGTGAGTGGTGACACAAAAGAGGCTTGCAGATGCATTAAGGATTTAAAAGTACCTTTCTTCCACCATGAGATAGTTAAACAGGCTATTATAATGGCAATGGAAAGGCACCAAGCTGAGAGCCGGCTTTTGGATTTGTTGAAGACAGCTTCTGAAGAAGGAGTGATTTATTCAAGTCAAATCTCAAAAGGTTTCGGTCGGATTATTGACACTGTTGATGACTTGTCACTTGACATTCCAAATGCAAAAGGTATATTGCAGTCCTTGATCTCCAAGGCAGCATCAGAGGGTTGGTTGTGTGCCTCATCCTTGAAGTCACTGTCCTTACAGTCTGAAAAGCGATTTTTAGAAGAAAGTGCTGCCAAAGCCTTCAAGATGAGGGCACAGACCATTATTCAGGAGTATTTTTTGTCTGGTGATATCTCAGAAGTAAGTCATTGTCTTGAATCACAGAATAGTTCTTCTTTGGCTGAACTGAATGCAATATTTGTTAAGAAGCTGATAACTCTGGCAATGGATCGAAAAAATAGAGAGAAAGAAATGGCTTCTGTTTTGCTGTCATCCTTATGTTTTCCAGCTGATGATATGGTAAATGGATTCATTATGCTGATAGAAAATGCAGACGACACTGCTCTGGACATTCCCATTGTTGTTGAGGATCTAGCGCTGTTTTTAGCTAGAGCTGTTGTGGATGAAGTCCTGGCTCCACAACACTTGGAGGAGATTGGGAGCCGGTGCTTGGGGTCAGACTCATTAGGAATCAAAGTGCTCCAAATGGCGAAGTCATTGCTAAAGGCTCGTCTTTCAGGGGAGCGAATCTTAAGATGTTGGGGTGGTGGAGGAAGTTGTAGGAATGGATGGGCCATTGAGGATGTAAAGGACAAGATCGGAAAGCTGTTAGAGGAGTTCGAGTCTGGTGGGGATATAAGTGAAGCTTTTCGGTGCATAAAGGAGTTAGGTATGCCATTTTTTCACCATGAGGTTGTTAAAAAATCAATGGTGGTAGTTATGGAGAAGAAAAACAATAGATTGTGGGGTTTGCTCAGAGAGTGTTTTAGCACGGGACTCATAACAATGAATCAGATGACGAAGGGCTTTGGGAGAATGGCAGAATCTCTTGATGACTTGGCTTTGGATATACCTGATGCTAAGCAACAACTTACACACTATGTTCAACAGGCCAAGGCTGAAGGGTGGTTGGATTCATCCTTTGATAGATCAGGACATGCTGCAGAGAATGGTTTTTGTTTATGATGCTGAGGTTGGTTCTGCATTTATTATGCTATTGCCTGGTCTATTTTACCCATTCATTGTTCTGAGTTCAACTTCGAAAAACATGAAATTATGACTGAATGAACGCTTGCCACCACAAATATATCTTTCCACCCAACCACTGTCCTTTAACCCCCACCCTCCGGCTTCCAGCAAATTATAACAACTCGATTACATGGCTTCCTGCAGGTTCTCACCTCACTCAGTTTGCAAACTATGGCATCAATTTAATCTGTTCTACATACGGTCCATCTGAGATCTTCAGTACTGCTGCTTAAATACTTTATCAAGGGGTGGAGTTAATCGGTTTTCTTTTGTGTGGATGCTCTATAGGCCATGGTTCATCATCTGCTTCAAAATCTCTCTACTATTGCAAAAATGGACCATACCAAATAGAAATTCCAAGGTGCTTCTAATCACCAAATGGAGTGTAGCATAGGACCAACTGACCATCATATTCTTTTCTGCCTTACTACTGTAACTGTGGATTGAATGAATAAATTGGAAGGAGATGACAAAAATGGTCGAGGCTGCAGTAGTTTTACTTACATTTGTTTTCTTTGGTCTTCTAGTGATTGAAAATTTTTGGGAAGAAGTAATAATTGATTTTGAAAGGCCTACTAATGTTCAAGTGTGTATCTTAACTAGTAAATTGTATCTTGATTAGTTGGCCGGATGACTTGAAATTCTTATTGATGTATTTGTAAATTTTGATAACTATGTTAGCATGTCTATCAACTTAAATCATATTGTGTCATATAATGATTTATAAAACTCTTGATTAAGAAGAGATAATTAACAAAAACTGAACCTTCTTTCATATGGCAATGTGTCAAAATTGGGTGGTTGATGTTTAAAATTAGCTGACTTATGTATTATTCGTAGCATTTTGAGACTATAATTGAGAATTTAGTCAACATATATGATGTTTGCAAGCAGTTGAATGGATACCATGCATTTCTGTTGTACGATAAATCAAGCCACTTGAGGAACATTTTACAAAACTTTAGTGCATAAGTATGAGTAGCAGCAACATAGGGACTAATAGAAGCTGCATTAATTATTACATTGAACGCAAAATGTTTGTTCGAAACAAGGCCTTTAGCGTCTGAGCTAGCTGGAAATTTTTATTTATGTCCTTCAGACATCACAGGAGATTCCTCTGAATTTGGGCCTGTTGGAACTTGTCTCTTGGATTCAGATCTAAGAGTTTTCGGAAGCGACCTCGTTTTACCTGGAATTTCAAAAAATTTACGCTCCTCATATATCACAGGAGGTTGTTTTGGGTTTGGGTCCGGTGGAATAAGTCTCTTGGATTCAAACCCAAAAATTTTCGAAAACGACCTCGTGCTACTTGAAATTTCAAAAAAATTACGCCAATCTGATAGCACAGGAGGCTATTTAGGGATTGGGCCCGTTGGAACGAGCCTCATGGATTCAAACCCAATAATTTTGGAAAGCGGCATCGTACTACTTGAAAATCCAAAAATTTTATGCCCCTCAAATACCATAGGATTTTGTTCAAGGTTTGGGCCCGTTGGAACGAGCCTCATGGATTCAAACCCAATAGTTTCTGAAAATGGCCTCGTGCTACTTAAAATTCTAAAAAATTTATGCCCCTCGGATATCACAAGAGGTTGTTCAAGGTTTGGGCCAACGAGTCTCTTGGATTCAAACCCAATAGTTTTCGAAAACGGCCTCGTGCTACTTGAAATTTCAAAAATTTACGTCTCTCAGATATTACAGGAGGCTGTTTAGGGTTTGGGCCCGTTGGAATGAGTCTCTTGATCTCATACTCCATTGAAGGTTTAATCCCATCAACCTCAAAATCCTTCAACACTCTAGGAGGAGAGCGGAAAAGGGGTGGGTCGGCTCGATTTGGGTCCGAAGGAACAAGCCTCTTGAACTCATACTCCGTTGAAGGTTTAATGCCATCATCCTCAAAACCCTTCAATCCTTTCGGTGGAGAGCGTAAAAGAGGTGGCTGTGCTTGATTTGGGCCACGGGGAACGCCCCTCTTGACCTCATACTCCATTGAACCATAATGGCGTGGAACAATGGATAACAAAAGAATAGTGAGTGATAGGAGTAAAAGCAAATGCCCCCCCTTGACAACCTCCATTGCTTCAACAAAACTTTTCTTTTACGCACACAAACTACCTTTTCTTGTGTTTTTTTCCAATGCCACAATCACCTCTTATATAATAACCTTTTACCTTTTTTACCTCTTCATATCTTTGTCCCTCCATAATTTAAGAGAGTGACACCAATTTTCCCCCTTGTAATAGAGATTAAATAAACAATCTTCACTTTTATTTTGGTACATATGGTGTTATGATACCTAATGGGGTATAGATATATACATATATATTCCTCTTTTTTATAATATTGCGAGATCTGTCTTTTTATTGGCGAGTTAATTTGACAAAAGTTTAACTTTTTAAATTCAATTTTAGTAAAGGTCAAGCATCTATCATAAATCCGGCGGATTTCTTTGATATTATTAGCGGGATCAATAAAATGGGTTAGTGAAACTTAAATAAATTTTATGAGTAATGATTAAACTTAGCCGATAATCTAATAAAATGTGAAATTGAAAAGAAGTGTGGATCTCTAGATTTTTAGTCTTTTTTGAATTGCTCATTAAATCGAGTATAATCTAAATTCAATTTATATTTTTATCTGATATACTGAGAATTCAACCAATTTGAAATTGAATTTAAACTCAAATTTGAACCCAATAAGTAAAGTGGGATTTTTACTCGAATTGTAAACTCTAGTTCAAGAATTTTAGGATTAATTACAATCTTTCCCTCCAATTATATCCCTTGTTGCAATTAGTTTTTTGTGGTTTCAAATGCTGTAATTTCCCCCTCCAAGTTTCAAGTGGATTAAATCGACTACCACCGGTGGCTAAACACCTTAAAGAACTATTACACCTTATGTTTTGTACATTATCTTTCCTTGAGATGCCAATTTTGTCCCTAAAAAAAATAAGGAAACTTTTGTCTCCTCGTCGTCATCGAGAAATGAGGGTTTCTTCTACAGGAAAAGGGAAGGGAATGAGAGTTAAATCATTCAAGGAAGGGGAGGATGGAATGGTGTAAAGGTAAAAAGGGGAAGTATGGATATTTGGTACAAGGTGAAAAATATGTGTAAAGATAATTATCTTTTTTCAGCAAAGTAAAGATCACGTGAATTTTACGTGCCTCAACTTTTGTCAATTTTTATTTTCTAAAAATAACTATTAGAGTTAATTATAATATATTAAAACTTATAGGGGATATTTGTTGAAATTAAAACATGAATGAGTAGTTGCAAACTATCAAAAGTTGAAGGGGCTTTCTTGTAATTAACCCATAATTTTAACACGGACACTATTTAGATTAGAGATTTCGAATTGAAGTTTGGATTCGGAGTTTTATAAATGGGTCCATTAGAGTTGTCTTAACATCATAAGTTGCATCCTCAATGGAGCATAAGAGATGCGTCTACGTAGTGAACGCCAACATCCTTCTCCCTGCCAATCGGCAAGATCATATTGACACCTATAAATATTTTGATTGAGACCATCTCTAATATGTTTTTTTTAAATTTCATTCAATGGTAGATTACTTATTTTTTTTTCATATTGAAGATCTATATGCATTGAACCGGTCCGCCAACATGAATCTAATTCCAATAACTTTTGGCCAATTTACAATTAATACACTTTGGGCTTGTTTGGAATTTTTTTTTTGGGAGGAAAGATTGGATTGGATTCGATTTTATGAAGGTCTTCCAAACCTAACCCCAAATGATTTGTACATTAGATTCAAACAATAAATTTTATTCAATTTTATATATGGTAAGTTAAATAAATAAGTGTGGGGTCCATTTATTCATGTCAAATCATATTTTTCGATTGACTAAAATATCCATCATTAGGTGATTAGAAGTAAACCTAATAATTTTAAACACGATTGGTGAAACTGACACGAATTCGACGTAGATTTAACGGGTTTGAGTGTAGTTTTATCAGTTCCGAATGGTTAACGAATTAAATCGGCAGACACGTGAAATAGGTGAACTTGTTTCGTGTTTAACCCATAAACTCATTTCAACATATTTAACCAATTAATAGATGACAATATAAATTCTAAAAAAAAATTAAATTAGATCTATCAGCCTTTATCTCATCTCACGCCTCCCATCTTTTAGACTCATTCGAATTTGATAGTAATTTAATGTTTATTTTTTGTTTTTACTTATTTGTTCGGTCATGATCTATTATTATAATCAACAGGTTAAATGTGTATAAAGGATAGCGAATTTATGATTTTTTGTGTTGACTCGAAACACTCTAATCGATGTTTTTATTTAGAGGATAACACACAAGTTAGGTAGGGTAAGTCGTCTAATAAATGAGTCGGATACGGCTGTAATAGTTATACCTATTTATATAAACGAATGTGTTATGAATAAAAATTTTTTTGACACGAATCCGTTCCACTCGATACGAAACTGTTTCACCCAACATGATTGTCGGGCCTAATTAAAAGAATGAGTTTTTGGGTAAAATATTCTTTTAACTTATAAATTTCATCTTTCACTTTTGAAACCCACCCACATGAATTTCATTAAACCCTCATACATATTTGGTCAGGATGATCCCAATAATTTAAATTCCCTTCTTTAAAATAAACCAAATATAAGGTATGTGGGACCTAGACTAATTTTTCTCAATTTCACCCACTAATTCATCTTAAACCTATGAACCAAACAACCTTTTTATGTCTGGGTCAAGTTTCGATTTAATCCATACAATTCCAATTAAACAATCAAGTCCCTGTCGTTTAATAGGGTTTCAATCCGGTCCGGCTATTCAAATCTATTCATTTCATTTAACGAGATGGAGCTATGTGACCAAACCCATGACTTATTTAGATAGTATATTTTGTCTTGCTAGAAAATTCGATTCTAATTAAAAAAGATACAAAAATCACATCCATTCATTTGAAGAAAAGGAACACCGGAAAGATTTCAAGAACTATCAAAGACAACATATAAGTGCTAATAATAATCATTTGGAATTTTGTTTTTTGGCAACAAAAATGCTCCAAAAAATAATTCGCATGTTGAACATAGTACTTCGTTAGAGCATCTTTAACCATAACTCAAATTTTTACTCAAATTTAAATTAACATTTGAGTGAAAAGCCTGATTTGATACATATGGCTCCAATGGACAAACTCAAATTTAAAAAAGGAGAAACTCAAATTTAAATTAGGGTAAACTCAAATTTAAAGAGTAAAGATAATCATTGGATCTTTAAAAGAGTGTGAAATCTCACCATTAAAGATTTGAGTTCTCCTTAATTTGAGTAAAAAAATTGAGTATCTCTTAATTTGATATAAGTTTGAGTCAATGTTAGAACAAGTTTTTTTATACATTTTTACTTAAATTTAAATTTGAATCTAGATTTGAATAGAGTTAGAGATGCCCTTATAGTCACCATTTTTTTTTGGAGTTAGTCATTCTCGTCAAATTAAGTTAACAATTGGGAAAATTGGTTAGAAGTCCGCATTTGAGAATTTTTTAGGTTTTATGTCCGGCCTTAACACTTTTAAAGCCAAATGTTCAAAAATGCAGTTACCCTCACATGCACACTCAAGACAATGAAGTAAATAATGTAAACTCAATAACAGTGAGCTAAAAATTCTATCTCACTCTCTTTTTCTCAATTGATTGGTTGATATGTGAAATTTAAATGAGATTTAATTGTGTTTGATGAATTTTTTATCTATAATCTATAATATAAATCAGGACAGATTTCAATAAGTTCATTCGATGGTCTTAAATAGACTCATTCAACGGTCATGGATATCTCTCTCAAAACCATTCCATTAAATTTCTCCTCCCCCAAATCCATCACTTCTCACTTACCGTGCCTTCAGACATGGGTTACCCCTAGTGTATGTGTGTGTGTGTGCGCGCGTCTTTGTTTTTCATTTTCTAAATCAATTGATTGGAATATGAAATTTTGAATGATCTTACTGGTTTGGTTTTGTAACATTAAATGCATGTTTTGAATTTTATGAAGTTTACAAAGCACAAGTAATATTGTAATACAAAAAAAAAGAAGAGAAAGACTAGTTTGGACTATACGACAAAAAAAATGAGTTGAGCTGGATTTAATGACTTAAAAATTATTGTTTTCTTTGGTCTTCTGGTGGTTGAACAAATTTGGGAAGAAGTAATAATTCATTTTGAAAGGCCTACTAATGATCAAGTGTGTATCTTAACAAATAAATTGTATCTTGATTAGTTGGCCGGATGACTTGAAATTCTTATTGATGTATTTGTAAATTTTGATAACTAAGTTAGTGTGCCTATCGACTTAAATCATATCGTGCCATATAATGATTTATAAAACTATCAATAGATAATTAACAAAAAGTAAACCTTCTTTCATATGACAACGTGTCAAAATTGGGTGGTTGATGTTTAAAATTAGCGACTTGTGTATTATTCGTATTATTTTTAGATTTTAAATGAGAATTTAGTCAACATATATGACGTATGTAAGTAGCTGAATGGATACCATGCATTTCAATTGTATGATAAATCAAGCCACCTGAAGAACATTTTATAGAACTTTAGTGCATAAGTAAGAGTAGCAGCAATATAAGGACTAATTTAAGCTGCATTAATTATTACATCGAACACAAAATGTTCGTTTGAAACGAGGTCTTTAGCATACCGGCTATCTGGAATTTTTCATATATGTCCATCAGATATCACAGGAGGTTGTTCAGGGTTTGGGCCTGTTGGAATGCGTCTCTTGGATTCAAATCCAACAGTTTCTGAAAGTAGCCTCGTGCCACTTGAAATTTCAAAAAATTTATGTCCCTCAGATATCACCGGAGGTTGTTTAGGGTTTGGGCCCGTCGGAACGCGTCTCTTGGATTCAGACCCAACAGTTTCTGAAAGAGTCCTCGTGCTACCTGAAATTTCAACAAATTTACGCCCCTCAGATATCACAGGAGGTTGTTCAGGGTTTGGGCTTGTTGGAACACGTCTCTTGGATTCAGACCCAACAATTTCTAAAAGTGGCCTCGAGCTAGCTGAAATTTCAAAAACTTTACGCCCCTCAAATATCACAGGAGGTTGTTCTGGGTTTGGGCCCGTTGGAACACGTCTCTTGGATTCAGACCCAATAGTTTCTGAAAGCGGCCTCGTGCTACCTGAAATTTCAAAAAATTTACGCCCCTCAAATATCACGGGAGGTTGTTCAGGGTTTGGGCCTGTTGGAACGCGTCTCTTGGATTCAGATCCAATAGTTTTCGAAAGTGGTCTCATGCTACTTGAAATTTCAAAAAATTTACGCCCCTCAGATATCACAGGAGGTTGTTCAGGGTTTGGGCCCGTTGGAATGCGTCTCTTGGATTCAGACCCAACAGTTTTCGAAAGCTGCCTCGTGCTACCTGAAATTTCAAAAAATTTACGCTCCTCAGATATCACCGGAGGTTGTTCAGGGTTTGGACCCGTTGGAACGCGTCTCTTGGATTCAGACCCAACAGTTTTCGAAAGCGGCCTCATGTTACTTGAAATTTCAAAAAATTTACGCCCCTCAAATATCACGGGAGGTTGTTCAGGGTTTGGGCCCGTTGGAACGCGTCTCTTGGATTCAGAGTCAACAATTTTTGAAAACGGCCTCATGCTACCTGAAATTCCAAAAAAATTACGCCCATCTGGTAACACAGGAGATTGTTTAGGATTTGGGCCTGTTGGAACGAGTCTCTTGATCTCATACTCCATTGAAGGTTTAATCCCATCAACCTCAAAATCCTTCAACACTCTAGGAGGAGAGCGTAAAAGGAGTGGCTCGGCTCGATTTGGGCCCGAAGGAACAGTCCTCTTGACCTCATACTCCATTGAACCATAATGGCCTGGAACAATGGATAACAAAAGAATAGTAAGTGATAGGAACAAAAGAAAATTCGCCCCCTTGACAACCTCCATTGCTTCAACAAAACTTTTCTTTTACACACACAAACAACCTTTTCTTGTGTTTTTTTCAATGGCACACTCACCTCTTATATAATAACCTTTTATGGTAAGTTGAGATTTCATATTTATTGCTATATATTTTCCTTTTTTCATCACTTTTAATGCTTACTTATCTGCAATTTTAACTCTCCATATATATGTCCATCCATAATTTAAGAGAGTAACGCCAATTTTCCTCCTTGTTATAGAGATTAAATAAAAAGTCTTCACTTTATTTTTGTATATATGGTGTTATGATACGTTATGTGATATATAGAGTAACGTGATCAGAGAAACTCTACACCATAGCGTCTAATGAGTACGTTTAGTATAGACACGGTCATTAGACAAAGATACTTAAAATTAATCTTTGTTTAGTGACTGTTAGATCACGATCTAACAGTCTATATTAAAGATATCCACCAGATGCTATAGTGCAGAGTTTTCGTGATCGCGCTACTCTATATGTGTGTGTGTGTATATATTCCTCATTTTTGTAATATTGTGAGATTTGCCTTTTTATTGGTTAGTCAATGTGACATAAGTTTAACTTTCTAAATTCAATTTTAGTAAAGGTCAATCATCTATCATAAATTCGGCGGATTTCATTAGTAGCATTAGTAGGATCAATAAAAGGGGTTAGTGAAACTTAAATAAATTTTTCGAGTAATGATTAAACTTTACTTATAATCCAATAAAATGTGAAATTGAAAGGAAGTGTGGACCTCTAGATTTTTATTCTTTTTTGAATTTCTCACTAATTCAGTTATAATCTAAGCTCAATCTAAATTTTTATCTGATATACTCAGCATTCAACCAAATTGAAATTGAATTTAAACTAAAATTTGAACCAAATAAGTAAACCGGAATTTTTGCTCCAATTGTAAAGTCTAGTTCAATAGTTTTAGGGTTAATTACAATCTATCCCCTCCAATTATATCCCCTGTTGCAATCAGTTCTTTGTAATTTCAAATGTTCTAATTTTTTCCTCCAGTTTCAAGTGGATTAAATTGAATGCCAACAACGGATAAACACCTTAAAGAACCATTACACCCTTTGTCTTGTACATTATTTTTTTAATTTTTTTTTCTTGAGATACCAATTTTGTCCTTAAAAAAAAGGAAACTTTTGTCTCCTCCTCATCATCGGGAAAGAGGGTTTCTTCTACCGAAAAGGGGAAGGGAATGAGAATTAACCATTCAAGGAAATGGAGGATGGAATGGTGTAAAAGTAAGGGGAGAAGTATAGATATTTGGTACAAGGTGAACAATATGTGTAAAGATAATTATATTTTTTCAACAAAATAAAGATCACAAGAATTTTACACATCTTAACTTTTGTCGATTTTTATTGTCTAACAATAACTATTGGAGTTAATTACAATATATTAAAACTTAAAGGGAATATTTGTTGAAATTAAAACCTGACTGAGTAGTTACAAACTACCCAAAATTAAAGGGATCCTTTTGTAATTAACCCATAATTTTAATATGGACAATATTTAGATTAGAGATTTCGAATTGAAGTTTAGATTCAAAGTTTTATAAATGGGTCAATTAGAGTCGTTTTAACATCCTGAGTTGCACCCCCAATAGAGCATAAGATATGCGTCTGCATAGTAATGCTACTTGATATCGATGGGATTTTGGGTATAAGCCGTCATAATTGAGAGCCTAATAGGTCCAAGAGGTTTCCACTCGCATAGCAGCCAGAAAAGTTCACCCCCAGCTTGTCCATGCCAGGAACGGAACAGACCGAGCCCAAAGGATGAGGCCCAACAGTACCTAAAAGCTTAAAGTTTAGCCTAACCCCAATCCAACTCAACTGAAGATCAGCTCAGGATAAAAGAGCTCGACACAATGTCTATCCTGAAGCACTCTCGTCGTGCCACGTGTCGTGAAGGCAGAGGGACCACTTCCGATACCCATAACGAACACGCATTCTCTGCCACATAAAATATTGGTGTGTGTAACAGCTCAAGGACTGTGAGTGCACTAGCGTCATGTGACAGAAGTCGATATAGGACAAAAGTAGAAAGGCCCACGAAATCAACAAAAAGGAAAAAAGAGCCACAGGAAACCCTAGAAGAATTATTTGAATAAATATGACACTATTACACTACAGTAAACAAGACCATCGTCTTCTTCACCGCCCATTCAAATTACCCATACTATTAGGCTTGTATTCTCTAAGCATTCCTTGTGAAGGCACCAAGCTAAAAGAACTATTGTTATAACCCCATTCGAGCAATATACTCTCCCAAGGAGTAGGAGACTTTCTTACAGTGGATGTAGTCTTGATTTTTTAACTAAGGAGAACCACTTACATCGTGTTCTGATTTTCCTCTCACTGCTTTGCCCATTTCTAGTCCTTATATTTGCTCTGCATCCTCTCTGAGCCAACTGACCATGATTCTGGACTTGAACTAATATTTCCGGGCACCATCCCTTACAGTGGGCTAATATGTAGAGATGCGTCTACATAGTAATGCTACTAATATCCTTCTCCCTGCTAATCGGCAAGACCATATTGACACCTATAAATATTTAGATTGAGATCATTTTTATTATATTTTTTTTCAATTTCATTTAATGATAGATCACTTATCTTTTTTTCATATCGAAGATCTATATAAATCAGACGGTCCACCAATTATTTCCATTGATTCAAGTCAAATCATATTTCTCAATTGACAAAAATGTCTATCATTACCTGATTAGAAGTAAGCTTGACAATCCTAGATAAGACTTGTGAAATTCAACATGAACCCAACACAGAGTTAGTGGATTTGGGTGATTAACAGGTTAATTCAGTAGACACGTGAAATAAATGAATCGATTTTGTGTTTAACTCATAAACTCATTTCAACTTTTATAACCCATTAACAGTAGCACTGTAAATTTCAAAAATAATAAAATTAGGTCTCTCAGTCTCTACCTCATCTCACGCCTCTCATCTCTCAGACTCATTCGAATTTGGTAGTAATTTAATATTTATTTTTTATCTTAACTTTTTTGTTCAGCAATGATTTATTACTATATAGAGGTCAAACATGTATATTGTGTGATGAATTGATAGTTTTTCGTATGGACCCGAAATACTCTACATTCATACTCCATTCGTTTATATAAATGAATGAGGTATGAATGGAGAATTTTTTGACACTAATTCATTTCACATGATACAAAACTGTTCTATCCGACACGATTGTCAAGCCTAATTAGAAGAATGGGTTTTTGGGTAAAATATTTTTTTCACCTACAAATTTCATCCTTCATTTTTAAAACCCCACCCGCCATAAATTTCATCAAATCCTCGTACATATTGGGGCCTGCTGAGCTCAATTATTTAATCCCCTTGTGGGAACTCGGACTATTTTTTCTCAATCTCACCCACTAATTCATCTTAAACCTATGAACCAAACAAGTGAAACAACCTTTTTATGTCTAGGTCAAGTCTCAATTTAATCCATAAAATTCCAATTAAACAATCAAGTCCCTATTGTTTAATAGGGTTTTAATCTGGTCTGGCCATTCAAATCTATTCATTTCATTCAACAAGATGGAGCTATGTGACCAACCCATGACTTATTTAGATAGTATATTTTGTCTTGCTAGAAAACACGATTCTAATTAAAAAAGACACAAAGATCACATCCATTCATTTGAAGAAAATGAGACCAGAAAGATTTCAAAAACTATCAAAGACAACATATTAGTGCTAATAATAATCATGTGGAATTTTATTTTTTGGCAACAAAAATACTCCAAAAAATAATTTGCATGTTGATCAATGATCATAGTACTCCGTTATAGTCAACCTCTTTTTATTTATTTATTTATTTTTGGAGCAGGCCTTTCTCGTCAAATTAAGTTAACAATTGGAAAAATTGCTAAGAAGTCTGCATTTGAAATTTTTTTCGATTTTAGGTCCAACCTCAACACTTTTAAAACTAAAGAGTCATAAATTTATTTCAATCTCTTTTATCTTTCTCCCTCCACATGCACACTCAAGACAATTAATTAAATACTATAAACTTAATAACAGTGATTTAAAAATACTATCTCATTCTCTCTTTCTGAATTGATTGTTTGATATGTGAAATTTGATGAGATTTAATTGTGTTTGGTAAAAATTTTGAAATATATATATGGTTGGGATATATAAGATGTTGTTTATACTTTAATAAGAACAAACCTACAAAATACAGATAAGAGTAAATAACTTTTAATGAATCTAAGATGTTCCACCTTAACACATTTTAGGGGATATAAGGATGTATTTTTGGCTAAAATCTTATTAAGAACTGGTGCTAATAATGAATTTTGAAAAAAAAAAATCGTATCAGGATTACCCAACCTATTTACTGAAAAAATAAGAATTCGTTTAAAATAAAGACACGGTAGATTTAAAATCTCTTATGAAAATTACACTTATAGAGAATTAATTTCTAAATGTATTTCAAAAGGATTAGCTCTATGTAATGATTTAAATCTCAAAGTTAAACTTATATATATATATCTGTGTGTGTGTGTGTGTGTTTTTTTTTTTTTCACTTTCTAAATTAATTGATTGGTATGTGAAGTTTTGGATGATCTAATGCTCCGTTTGGTAGAAAGAATGAAAAGTAAGAGGATACATTTTCTATCTTTCAAGGAAAGAAAGTAGGAATGATACACTTTTTTTCCTTTATATTTAGTAGGATGGATGAAAAATAAAAATAATTAATTTTTTTTTTGTACCGACTAATATTAAGGGTGACAATCAAGTCGTGTCGTGTCAGGTTCACGTCGAGTCATTACGAGTTGGTGTCGAACATTAGTCAAATCTAACTCAATTCATTTAACTAATTGTGTCATATAGAGTTGACCTATTTATTTTCGTGTCGTTTGTATTCGTGTTGACTCACGTAAATTTGAATAAAAAATTTAACGCTAATATTATATTTTTATTTAATTGAATTCATGTTCATATTTTTTCTACAAACTAAAAATTAACTTAAATAAATATAATAATAATAATAAGTAAAAATATTTTTTTATATAATAATTATGTCAGGGCTTAATAAATAGTTACAAATAATTAACATTTTATGTCTATATTGTTTCGTGTTAATTTCATATTATCATACAAACAAAAAAATATAGATGTTTATTTTTAAATAAACGAGTTGATAGTGTCAATTTTGAGTTTGACGGGTTGAACTGAATATGAGCCATTTATATTTCTTGTTCCCGTGTCAAGTCATTTTTAAGTTCGTGTCGAGTTCGAGTCGTGTCATCATGTTGAATCGAAAATTTTCACCTCTAGCTAAGATGTAATTTTTTTTTAATTTTTTAATTTTTAAAATATATATATAAATACATATTTTATTATTATATGAAATTAATGCATGCATAATATATGTATATATCAAAAGATATATAAAAAAATAAAATATATCTCAACACAAATAATTTATTTTTCATTCACTTTCCTTCTGATTTTGGAGGGATTGATTTTGGTGAGTTACAAAAAAATTTAATTCATCCATTTTTTCATACTTTCTATTTTCCTTCCTTACCGAATACGATATTTTATTTATCCTTTTATTTTTCCATCATACAACATTAGTGATTTGATTTTTTAACTTTAAATGCCTGTTTGAATTTTATAAAGTTTACAAAGCACAAGTAATATTGTAATACAAAAAAAAAAAAAGAGAAAGATTAGTTTGGACTATAGCACAAAAAAGATAAGTTGAGGTGGACTTAATGACTTAAAAAAAGTCCTTGGCTGAACTTATTAACAAAAAAAGTTCTCAATATTGTATTTTTCAACAATTTTCGCTTAACAATTTTTGGGATAGAAGGGCGCAATTGAAACTCAAATGGACCAAATTGAAACTGGGTCCATACTTAGTGGGTGTAAATTGTAATTGCCACGAGCCTATAAAACAAAGTCTTCCTCTTCCTCATCGCCCCTGCACCCTCTCCCCTCCCGGCTGGCCAAACAAATCAAAGGCAAAACTACAACCATGGCCAACGACCGGCTAGCCGGAGAAATCGAAGAAACCACCTCCACCACCGACGAAGATGCCAACGATTCATCTCCACTATTACCGGACCCAACCCCTAAAGCTCGGTCTGTGAGGACCAAGGTGCCCGAGATCGAGGTCCACCTCTACCGACGTGGCAAAGGCCCCATCGACGTCTTCAAAACGAGCCTCGGTGGGTGGGACCAAGACCAATTGGAGGTTCGAGATATTCTCGACAAGTACGGCTTCAAATCCATCTATGCATTCAATGCTCAGTCGGTTCGTGGGCTTTCCATTCGGTTTAATCCCAGAAATGGCCGATCTTTGCTTCCTTACAAGGATGGATCGGTGATTTACATTGATGGAGAACCCAAGGTACTTACTTATATGTTCATTTTGACATATGTGAAGACTACCCTTGAAAATAGTTGAGCTTTGTGGGTTGAATTTGTTGTTTGTTTAGATATTTCGTGAAATTTAATGATTCTTTTGAGGTGTGAAGGGGAAATTCTGTACAGTAATTGCATTGGAATTGATGGGTCAAGTAGGAATTTCAGATTACATTGCAGAATGACTGTCCAGTTTGTAGTAAGTGTGAGGATAGTTATACATGTAATGTCAATTATAGCTATGCGTGTACATATACTTATAGAACATACATATAGTCATTTGTGTATGTGAATTGCGGTTTGTTGTGTGTTTGAGATAAGGATTTGACAGAAGGGTTTGTCGAGTTGGGTTGAGAACAAGTTAGTTTAATATAATGCCCACAAATTTGATTGATCTTCTTTGGTTGATTTTTCATGCTCAAAGTGTATTGATTACATTGAATTAGCAGTATTACACAACAAATAATGTTTTTTCAAGATTAGGTAACAAAGTAATAAAATATAGCAGGAAAAGAATGGTGGCATCAGTGTTATTTAAGGCGTAAAGCGAACCGAAGCGACCAAGGCTCCTAACGCCTAGGCGAGAAGCGAGAAGCGAAGCGACACGCTTTACCGAAGCAAAGCGAACAGTTAAAAAAAATATATATTTTAGTTTAATTACTTCTAAACAATCTAAGTTCTAATTTTATATATACTAAATATTTAAATGCAAGTAAAACCATAAACATTTAAATTAAAAAAAACACTAATAATATCTCAAATCTTAATAACAGTCATAACTTAAACATTTAAATTCAAACAAATACTAACAATTGTATACATTTTCATATTGACAGGGTAGGACAACAAAAGAAGCAGAATCAGGACAACAGCAGAATTAGCAACAAAAAAAAAAAAAGCAGAATGACAATTAAAAAAAACAAAAGCAACACAGGACAGCAAAATCGAAGCAGCAACAGAATCAACAAAAAAAAAATAAAAGCAGAATGAGCTAAAAAAAAAACAGAAGCACAATGATCATGACAGGAGCAGAATTAATTGTAAACAATTTCATATGTAATTATATACTGAATAAAAAAAAGCAGAACAGAAGCACATTTCACATGTACTAAAATAATTAAACATGGTATAAGCATAGACCACTTTTTGGTACCATTTGTATATATATAAGAAAAGGGTAAAGTATAACCAAGACATATCAGAGACACTTCTTTGTAGAAGAATTTATTATTTACCTCCATTTCTGATACTCCTGCTTTATTTTTTTATCATAATTGTCATGCAGTGTAGTCGCCTGACTCCCACATCCCACAAATATTCTAAATGAATTCAGCAACACAAGGAAAAAAAAAGGAATGTGTTTTGTTCGAAACATTGTTTATTAGAAAAAAAAAAAAAAGACCAGCAATAGTCTAAAAAAAAAGTCATTAGTGATTAAAAAATAAAAGAGACTACTAACCTGTAATCAGAAAAAAAAAAAAAAAAAGTGAAGCAGAATCGCTTTTTATAATAAAGCGTTCGCTTTTTCGCTTTTTTCTCTTCTTCGCTTTTTCGCTTTTTCTCGCTTTTTTCTCGCTTCGCTCACGTTCGCTTCGCCTGGGGTCCTCCAGGCGAGATAAGCTCGCCTCGCCTCGCTTCGCTTCTCGCCTAGGCGAGCTTTTCAAAACACTGGGTGGCATTACAAATTTTGTTGACAAATTGCCAATATAAGAGGACTCTGTAAAAGTTTGCGAGAATGTTAGAATTCCAAAGGCTAGGATCGGTATTCTGATTAATTAAACAAGCTAGGTTCTTGAAGGGTCTGGATATTGCTGCATTTAATGTCTCCTCATTCTTGAATTGATGCTTCTGATCTATTGTTTTTCACTCCACCAGCAAGAAATTTCCATCAAAATTGATAGGTACAATATCCAGCACACCATTTGTTAAACCCATCGAGATAGGGTGTTGACAGCTGATAGTTAGGACTATTGGAGAGAATTGATTGTTGAAAGTTGAGAAAGAAAATTTTGAGGTTCCATCTTGTTTGGATGTGAAATTTGAAGTTTGTCTGGTTTTATGAGAGTCAGGTTTCATGTAATATTGAGTCCTTTTTGGTGTTCTTGGAGGTTTACTCTTCCAGTGGATTGTTATTAGCTTATGTTGGGTTCATTTTCCTATCTTTAGACCTCAGCACTAGAGTTCATCATGAGGCCGAGGTGCAGAGTGACATATGTTGCTGGGTTTGGCTGTAGTCGCCCTTTTGGATTGGATTCAAAAGGCACAGGCTCGTTCGTACTTTTGCTTCATTGATCATTTACCCAAATACATACCCATTATTTAATTTATTAAGGGTAATTCTTTATGCACCAAATTTGTACACCAAAACTTACACAAAATCAACTATAGCTGTTGGATCAGAGATGAGACCTATTGATCCAATAGCTGCAAGTGATTTGGGGTGAGTTTTGGGGCACATAGCATTGCTCATTTATTAAGCCAAAATTTTGAAGGTGTGCACCATCTCAGCTTTTTCTATGTCTGGACAGACTGAACTCTCCCTTAGCATGTGAATTTAAGAAGGTAAAAATTCTGTTTCATGTCTTCTGTGATCTTGACTGCCTGCAATTTTTGAAGTTTCTTCCAAATATTCAGTTCTTGTCTCCATTTTGTGAAAGGCAAGGTGCTCTAAATTCTTTGGCATGGTTTCCCTGTTATAGAGGAATATGATGCTTCTACAAGTGCTGTTTTAGGTAAAACACAGTTACCCATGAAGTGAGTTAATTCTTCAGCCATTTATCTTCTCTGGTTTCAGGACTCATTAATCAAGCCTATTACCAAGATCCTGTTAGGCGTTGCAGTAACCACACTTTTGATAGTATTGGTTATGAAGGAAACTCCACAATGGGTGAAAAAAATGAACTTCACAGGTGGCCAATTCCCTCCATGGATATTAGCTTGTGTGGTTATCGTTTTCACTCGCTTGAGGAAGAGAACTAGGGACTTTCTAACAAAACGTGGTTGATATATAGATGCAGGCATGCTTGGCACTGGCTCGTGAATTTTCTCAAAATTTTGCAAGTTTTTTTCTGAGTTTCAGTTCTTGATCCGGGGATTGTAACTTATAGATTGACTTATGAAGTTAAATGGTTTATGTATAAGGAATTTTCATTATTATGTGGTGAAAATTTTCCGGATTCAGTTATTATGAATGGTTCCAGGAGCATGTACAAGTACCTTTATTGGTCTGGTTATTATATTGATATATGTACCATAGAATATGGCATTATGTGTGATTTTGAATTGAAGAGCTTGGAAAGGGGCCATTGCCAGACAGGGCATCTGTAGGGTTGAGCAGACATCGTCTATAGGTTCAATTCGGCTAGCCACCCTGTCCCTTTAGGGACATGTTTTAACTCAACTCAAATTACAGTGACTAATCGCATAATTCGAAGAGAGCTGTCGGTGCAAGCGTGGACACCCTGTAGTAAAAAAAAAAAAAAATATGGTGTTGTTATGAGCTGATACTTTCTATGTTTAATGAACCCATACGGTGTAGGGGGGTGTTTTTTTTCCCTATTGTATGTCTATCACCAGCCAAGTAGCATGTTTTGGTATTTGATAAAGCATTTTAAAAGTAAAAGTAAATTTGATGACTATTTTTCAAAACTAACATATGTGGCTTGCCGTCTTGATACCCAGAAGGAGTGAACCTAGACAGAGAAAAGGTAAAAGAAGCAATTTTTTTTTTTTAAAGTCAGCAAAAACCATTTTTTTTTTCATTTTTAAAAATGTTTTAAGGAGAAAAAAAAAATCCAATATTTCAGGCATGAAAGTTAATGGAAAATGAGTAAACATTGGGTATAATGGTGACACCACGTCACCGTTGTCACGTGGTGTCACCGTTACATTCATTATTTTCTCATGGACAAGAAGCTTGCATCTTCATGAAAAGATAGGGTGCAGTCTAAATTGTCTAATAATCTTTTTAAATATTAAAATGTCTAGTTTGTTCTTTTTCTTCAACCTTAATTATATATCTATCACTTTTTTCTTTTCGGTACAAATTATATATCTATCACTACGAATACATACACATCTAAAAGGGTAATCGTACTTTTAAGAAAGTTCTTTTTCTATAACAAATTATTTTTTGAAAAATAGAAAGTTATCAAAACGATACATAAGTTAATTACATAAGGTAGTACAAGATCAATATCCAGACTTCATGAAGAACAATGTGAAGCTTGCATACGCCATCCCCTGGGAAGCAGCATTTCATTGCAATAAATTGCAGAGGGGCTTTCATGGTTGTGCACTCCTTCGTAGGTTGTAATCACATACCTCGAGTCTTCTTTGTCCCTTTCTACTCTCTTCTTCACCATGCACCCTCCAGTCACACACTTGTAGTAATTCCTATTTGTTAATTGCCACATAAAAAAGCTATTTAGTCATAAACTAAAGTTAATGAAATCAACTAAATCGAAATGAAAATCTATGATGTCAAGGGTAGCAAATTAGTGCGCACGTTTCTCTACTTTTCGTGTATAATTTCTTAGATCATTGGTGTAATTTTTTTCGCATGCTCGTTCATTATAGATTAGGTTGAAAATTACCTTGTATGTTATTCAGGCATGTATCAAGCCTTGGTGCTCGATTATATTTTTGTACTTCTTTTCCTTTAATCTCAATTTACATTTAGTTAAAAAAAAGACTACAAATAGAAGGTAAGTGGTAATTAAACAAAGTACACTATGCATGGATGCCATACCTTCTATGAGAGTGTAATAGTATGGAGAAAGAAGAAAGGACCAACTAACTGCAGACATGCAATGAGGTTAATTTGTAAACTATGTTGAAAGATATGCATGGTGAATGATTGGCTGATTGATTGTATCCGGTGTACAAGCTTCTCATCTATAGCGGGTTTGGGAAAGGTGAATCGTAGATAGTCTTACCCAACTTTTGTAGGAACCTATTCCCGAATTTGAACCCATGATACAATCGTCTAGGTGAAAGAGTCCTTAACATCACTCTAAGTTTAACCTCAACGGTGAATGATTGGCTGAAACCAGTATAGTGAGCATAGATGGCATCAAGACATAAATATGTACATCCTGAAATGAGTGGATTACTTGATAGTTGAAGGCATCAAGAGATACACATGTGTATGTTGTGTGTATATGTATATACACATATACAAACATGATCAGCATCTGTATTCCAAATCATGACCCTTCACTATTATATTGTCTTACGTATGAAAATAAGAAATGAGGAGGTAAGTTTCCAAGAAAGGAATGTGTATAGCACCCATCTATTGACCTTAAAAAAATAATGATAATTATGATATCTATTAAGTACCACACCACCATCTCCCCTAACCCAACTTAAAAAATAAATAAATGGAAGAGAGAGATAAAAGAAGAGTACAAGGATGATCAGCAAGTTATGTAAATTGGCAAAATTTTCATATATCAACCTTTTTGATAAAATTGACCAAATGATACGGCAGTGCAACCTTAATTTTACGTATTTACCTCGGATTGGGGCTACTCTTAACCCTCTTCTTCCCATACTTCCTCCACTTGTAACCATCATCCATAATCTCAAGCTCAGTCATTGTTCGAAAAGCAATCCTATGTCCCATATCCTTTTTCTGTCTCTTCAAGCCACTTCTACATTTCCTGCACAAATATGCATACCCAAACAACATAATTAGTCCACAGGCTAACACTTGCATAGAGATATTTACTGAAAGGGAGGAATATTTTACCATTCTATCCCAATTTTTCAAATGTAATTATATCTATCATAGTTTATAGGAAACGCGATTTAAATCTAGATACTTTAATGTAAACTCATGTTTGCAAAAGACGCTTTCAAAGCTTTTTATTGAAAAGCACGTTGCAAACACACTTTAAATCGAGATATATGCTAGAAATCATGTTGGTGGGTGAAAAAAGAGATTGAAAATCAAGATATAAAATGAAATGATTCGAATAAAACTTACATGTAATTGTTTGTTTGCATGCCATCCATGGAATTCACTGAGCAGCTTCCATTAGCATGAGTCGTTTCATGCAAGATCGGAGTTGGTGAAAGACAAGCGGTGAAGTCGGACGACCAGAACGTTTCATCTAGCTGATCTGCCATTGCAAGATAATCAGAAAGCTCAAAGTCTAGATGATTATGATCACCATAGCTACCCATGAACTGAGTGTAATTGGGATAAGAGCCATTAGGGTTTAGGGTTTGATAGTTGTTGGGTACTAGGAAGCTGTAGTTAGACATGGCAGCCTGAGAGATTGGTTGGTGAAAAGTGAAGACCAAGAAGACTATAAGGGAGACTTTACATAGTTTGATGCTATGGCGTGCTTGGCTTTGATAATGCACATCTATATATATATAGAGTAATGTTATTGTCTTCCTTCAAGAGCCTTCGTGAACACCTTCCTTGAGTGAATTGATAGTATTGAAATTCAGTGATAATTTAATATTGAAATCTACTAACAATTTAATAGTTACAATCATTAAGCCCTCAAATTATATTATTATCAAATTATGGCCCACTAGTATTGCTCTCAACTGATAAGTGGATAAATCTGCATCACCATGGACGGAACCATATGAATTTTTTTTTTAGTTTAACGGTTAAAGATGTATTGGTTAACTTACGCACACCTCAACTAATTCTCTCCGGTTCAATTAAAAACAGGTAATCCACGTTGAAACTAAAGTATTGGCGAGAGATAAATCTCTCATGGTTTGACCTCAACAAATTTTCAAAATTTATACTTCTCGCATCTATCTGAATTTACAATTCGTCTCTATTGTCATTTAAACTAACTTTGAGTTGAGCCATATGTATTGGCCAAGGGCCATGACCTCAAAAACAAAAAAAAAAAACCTCATATTTTGAAAAATTCCTATAGTGCCCTAAATTTTCAAAGAACTAAATTCTTCCCCCCTAGGTTTTTAAAATAACCCCCACACACATATATGCTATTTCACTTATTCTATTGGAAAAACTTAATGAGTTGACATTTAATAAACAATTAGAAAATGTAATACATATGATGGGTGCTGCTTTTAAAGAGGAATGCACTTGTTTGGATGAGTTCAATGATCAAAGTCAAAAATAAGTGAAAGTGTTACAAAATGGGGTTAAAATTTGGATTTTATTAAAGAATATTAATGTTGAACTGATAAAAAAAACCTAGTCTAAAGTACGAAAAAATACTATGTGGCATTGTTGACTAAGCAAGATATTCAGACTAAAATTTAAATGAGGACCAAATTAAAATTTAAATAGAAATTCAATGATTTATGTTGTTAAAATGTACGACAAGTTCCAAAAAATTGGTCTAAAATCCAAGTAATAAACTAAATTTATTTTTTGGAATATTGAATAGGTAAATATTATTTTTTAGATTTTATGACCCAAATTAATTTTTGTGGTCATATTATTTTATAAAAATTTAATTTTGATAAATTTTGTACAATTACACATTCGTCATTAACAGTAACTTGTTGAATATCTGTTGGATAAAATTTATTGACTATATGTATAACCACCTCACGAAAAAAAATCCTAATTCTGTCTTTGCCCAGTCAATACCTTCCCCACCACATATCAACCGATGAGCAACCGATCTTACAAAACCTGTATGATCGATCAATCAATCAAACCTGTATTAGAATAACATCCCACTACTAATCCAACAATAACACTGATGTAAGTAGGCATCTTAATTGTGTCTAGGTAAGGCAGGTTCATATTAAGTCTTGGTATATTCGTGTTAAGTCTTAGCAGGTTTGTGTCGAAAAACACTCTATTCATACCCGATTTATTTATTAATTCGTGTCTAACAAGTGGTGTTATATCGATCTCGTGTCGTATATGAGCCGTGTATAACTAATATATAAATGAGTCGCGTCGTATGTCGTGTATTTCTTTTAATTGACTTTACTCAAACTCGATTCGTTTATTTAATCGTGTCGGGTCGGGTTCACTTATTCACGAAACGGATGACTTAAAAAAGACTAAAACCCTATAATTTTGTACCGTATTAACGAATCGTGTCAAAATATTGATACTTCTAGACATTAAGTGAACAAATAAATTGAAATTGCGTATCATTATCAATGTGAAAAATAGTCCACAAACTTATTAATCCGTGAAACACTGTAAAGGAACATCATTGATATAGTCCTTGGAGAGAGCCAAAATGTGCGTGATTGAAGCTGACCATTTGGAAAATTGGGGGTGTGGGGTGGGGGGAAGGAATGTCTAGGAAGGCCACAAAGTAGACATTTCTATCCACAACACTAGAAGTTGCAAGGAAACAAAGACATGCTTGACTTGACTTTTGTCAGACTGGTATGTTAAGTTTGAGATCATATTTGTCAAGGTTTGACATGATTAAATACTACTTATCTTAGTCCACTTATACATACCACAAAAAAAAAAAAAAAAAAAAAAAGGGTCACCAAGAAGGAACCTTCCCTTGACGACAACGTTCGGCGCTCGTGCAAAACAGCTATGGCTGTGGTGGTAGGGACACCAAACAAACACAGAGACAGAGACAGAGAGAGAAATAATCATGCTCCAATTAGGGTGTCAATCGAGCTTTGTTCAATATGTCATCTTTATGTAGATTGTAATATCTTTTTGATGTGTTCATATTATTTTTTAAGACTTTATTATGGTATCGAATTCTTTTTTTGTATATCGTTTTTCTAAATTTTATTACTTTAATGAGTGTTTTTATAATTTTTGTAGGTTATTTTATAAGAAATTTTTTTTATTATTTTTGTGGGTATATTTTTTTTTTTTAGCAAATACCTTTGACCAGATTGAAAAAAAGTTTAGCCAGAGTGCGCTTGGCCAATCGTTGAATCCTTATGACTCAAAAAAATAGTGAGTCCCATGCATGACCAAATTGATATCATTGTAAAACTTCAAAACTTTATTGCCATGTCCCATATTAACTTGTCTTCCACTTTGAACAGATGGGTGGAAGAAATTCTGTTATCATTTTCTTCACCTTTTCTTTTTCATTTCATGTGTTTTGTGTTTTGATGTGTTTTCTTTGCCTTGGTTGACTTTAACTTGGCTAGAGTTTTATCAAATATTTACTTTGGACTTCAAAAATTTTGAGATTTTTTATATATCATCTCTAAATGGCGGGCAGGGACGGTCTAGTGTTCAAGCCGGTCAGACGACGACTACGTCACTTATTAGCTTAATCTTACCTGCTAATTTTAAAATGGAATGAAATAAAAAAATAAAAAAAAAACATGAAACGCTAACGCTATAGTTTTTATTGGGGTTTATTATTGGATTACTCCGAACCACCGACTAGATACTTAAACCTAACATAAAAGTGATAAAAATTTAACTTGAAAGATTCAACTCACGAAAATATGATAAAATATAGACGTATGAATGTTTGGGTCGCAGTTGACATTAGCTCCTCCTTCACTGTCCCACATTATTAAAAAAATCAACTCTCTACTCTAATCCAACAATTAGGAGTCAATCATCTAGATGATGAGACTTGTTTTTCAACTGTCAAGTTCTTATTACCAAACAAACATTTCATATACCTCTATAGATGATTTAGATATAGATCGGATTTCCTTATGTTATATTTTCATTGATTAAAAGTTCATTTAAACTGGTCGATCTATTTATCTAATTGATTGACAATATCATTCAAATACAAAGTTGTTACCATTAGGATTTCTATTCCATTTAACGTTTTCAACAGATTGTAGGGAATATATATTCTACTATTTTTTAGAGAAGAAAATAATTTTATTCGAGAGTAAAATAAGAGTACAAAGTTACACCCAAAAAAACAACAACAATAGATCGATTATACAATAAAGTTTAAAGACCTAAGTTTATGGTGGGTAATTCTTTCTTGTATTATATATTTCAAACACTTACACCCATTCTTGTGAAATTTGAACTTTTAGGGCCTGTTTGTTTCAAGAGTTTGGATAGAAATCATAGAATGAGTTTTTTTTTTTAAATAGTTAATAGACAATCTTATCACTTATTTGGTTGTAGATTTTGGGTCCGTTTGTAAATAAAATCCATGTATATGGGTTTTAACAAACTTATGGGGGGTGGGTTTATAGTCAATTTTATAACAAATATTCTGTGATTTTTGTGATTAATGGTCTTATGTGTATTTGTGTCATTTATCAAACATGGGATTGAATATAGTATATTTTTTATTCCCATGAACAAAACCTTCCCATATTCAATCCCATAAACAAAACCTAAGGATTGGGTTTAGAAGGGTTTATAAATCCAACCAATCCTCCTCTTAAAAGTTATTCAACCAGCCCTTGTTGTTATTGGAGGGTTTATGATTATGGGGCTAATAATCCCTTGTGGAATTCTTTCATCTTGCAATGTGTAGAGGCTGGGCCCATTCTCACGGCCCAATTAATTCTCAAAGCACGGGCCATTGGTTTTTGCTTGCAGTCTATTAGGCCTGGTCAGAACAATAGTTTACATATTAGAAATATCTTATCGGTACCAGGAGTCATGCACACGTGACACTCATGTGCATGTAAAAAAAAATATTAAAATTAAAATCACTATAATTAGAATGGCTAAATCTAGTTAGCGATGGAAGTTATAAGTGATTAAATGGAACTGATAATACAATGAAAATGAAAGTTTTTTATGATTAAAATGACAAGATAAACGTTAGAATTGACATTTTATAGACGGACATCCAACTCTCATCCTCTTTGTTTATTAATTTATTCAATATATTTTGATACAAGCTCCAAGTATTAACAAGAAGAAATAGGTATTAGTAGTTACAAACATTTGAAACAAAAAAAATTGGATTTTTTTGCCGTGGGTACAATTATTTTGACTTATTTGAGGAAAAGTATATGGATGAGTTGTTTACTCTATTAAGTTCAATTTTAATAAAACATATTGTATTTAGGTATAAAATTTAAATGAAATCAAAATTTTTTTACTTAAATATCCTCCCTTAAATTATGTATTTTTAATTAGATATATCTAATCAAATATATAAATATTTATCAAATATTTTTTTTTTTTTGGGTGCGGGGTGGGGGAAGGAATGTCTAGGAAGGCTACAAAGTAGACGTTTCTATCCACAACACTAGAAGTTGCAGGGAAACAAAGACATGCTTGACTTGACTTT